GGCCCCCCATCTGTTTCAATCGGCACATCCACACCCTGCCAAACAGTTACAAAAAAAACAGCACGAGAGACATGGAAAAAAAAAAACAGCCAGCCGCGGCTACCCTTAAACAGTTCATGAAGGGACCCCAAACCAGGGAGCTGGGTGGCTGCGGTACCGGTTGCGGTGCGGGCTTTATCATTTTTTTTTTTTACCAGCGCAGCAATAAGAAGTGGCCCGTGCGGCTACATGTGCTGTGCAGTGTCGTGAAGAAAAAAAATGTCTCCTTCATTTTACTTCTGCGCGATGATGAAATACTCGCTATTTTCTAAAGGCGGGGAGAGCGAGAAGGGGGAAGGAAGGGACAGCACATGATGTTTCTCAGATCTATCTGAGCGGGGCGGGGCCGGAGACTATCGCACGGCCGGAGGTGTACATTTGTGATTTAGGGATTGAACGCTTTTTCCTTTCCTTTCCTATTGCTTTTTCTTACACTTATTCTTTATTTTCTGGTTCTGCTGCTCTGTTCTGGAAGGCCCGCCGCCGCCGGCTTGTGGGGCTGGCCCCGTATTATTCACAACGATTATGCAACCGGGGGAGAATTGAACCCTTTTCAAAAGAAAATAACCCATACGGCCCGGCTAGATACGATACCTCTCTCTCTCTCTATTCTACTGCCCCAAATAATCACAATCTCGGCAGACAGAGACCTATGTAGATAAAACCCGTGATTCCTCCCCCTGCAGCACGCATGAACCTACCTTACGTCTGTCTACGTCGTGAGAGGGGAAAAAGGTGTTTCGGGTTGGATAATCGTTACCGAGTGACATTCTGTGCCGCGCCCAATGGGCGCTGCGGGATGGTGTTTTTTTTTTTTGCTCGTCTCGTCTCTCTTGCGGGGTCATTCATGGTCAAGAGTGGAGGAGGAGATGAAAGTACCGGCCGTATCACTGGAAAAGAAAATATACAATTGCCTACAGTAGCTATGGCAGAGAGGAGACTCTCGATACTCTTGCCTGCTCTTACCGTCCGTCTCTCTGCTCTACCTACTACGTATCGCTCTCTCCACATATCTGCCAGTGACCCAGCCACGTGCACCACCTGCCTGCCTGCCCCGCCGTGCGTGCCCTGCAGCAGGCAAGAAGCTCTCTCCTCCTCTCCTCTCCTCCTCTCCTCCATCACCATAGAGCACATACATCATCTACCCGTCCCCCTTTCCTTTTTCCAACACTCACACTCGTCATCGTCATCGCCCCCAACGCGTTTCTCACCGCTATCACTAATCCCCCCCCCTCTCTCCTACCTCAGCCCACAAGGCAGCAGCTGCACTGGCTCAGGGTGCGGTCCGGCCCCCGTGGAGAAGAGAGAGCGAGGGAGGGGAAGGGGATCTGCAGATATGTGACAGCGGATGGGTGGATGGATGGGAGGGAGGGAGGGGTGGACCCTTACTTGCGCACCTGGCTGGCTGGTGTGTGTAGTGTGAAGAAAGATTAGATCTACATAGGCAGGTGAGAGCTCTAGGTAGAACCCCACGCGAGCACCCAGCAAGCAGTGGATGGAGGGGAGGTACTCTACATGTACCTCCTCCAATATGTAGGGGCCGTAATCAACATGCTGCCTGACTGCCTCCCGATCAGCACTTTAGTTGAGTAGGAGTAGGTACATGTGCCTCTAGGTAGTTACCCGCCAGCCAGATAAGTAACGCAAAATAAAATGGCATCATGAGATATCACTGATCCTCTGATCCACCACATGTAACTCCTACACCCACCACCTCTTCCACCACACACCAACCACACACACAAACCACGACAATAATCGAGCGGTGAGGAAACAGCTGCCGCAACCCCAGCCCCAGGGATAACGCGATCGCACTCACAGCCTGTGAATCGCAAAAAAAGTTCATCATCTACCCCCAATATCCCCCCGGCCCCCAATGTTCCACTCTCTTTGTTTTCCGGCTGGCCTGGTAGGATACGTGAAATACATTAGGCTATGTACGAATGGAATTGCTGTTTTGTTTGTGTTTCCCGGTGTAAAATGTAGGGAGTGAGTGAGGTAGGGTATCATCATGCAGTGCTGTGGAGTAGAGTAAGGCTCGTACCTAGCTGGTGCTCTGGCTAGGAAGATGTGTACTGTAGTTCTCCCGCATCGGCGATCTCCCGCACCACGCCAGCTAGCTCGCTCAACGCTGGATGGATGGAATGGCTAGCCGCATCGTAAAGTGCTCTAGAAGCGTTGGCGGTCTTTCTTTATCCCGGTCCTGGCTGGCTCTAGACCCAGCTGGTCTGGTCCCAGTCGGAATTGTGTTCATTGGATCATTGAGATGTAGATAGATAGCGATACACTGAGGTACGTGTATGTACCTACTAGTACTATGTGGTGAGGTGAGGTGAGCTCAGCCTGGGAGAGTGTCGGGGGATATGTATCGATGATCTGACTTATCGATCATTGCGGGTTGTTGAGCCGTGAGATTGCAGTGCTCTATAGATCTTTGCACTATGATATAGTGGTTATTATAATAATGTTGATGATATAACAATAATGGTATTGAGAACAATAAAATCGTCAATTGAAACGAAAGGGATATATAAAAATGAGAAAGTAAAAAAAATGACATTGAAAAAAATCAATAAACTCCATCATTATCCTAACATAACACAATAAAAGGGAAAAAAAACATCTAATTAATTACACAAAAAGAAAAAAAGCGCTCTCAACAAACAGACCCTTCCCCCGCCTCTCTAGAGTCTCTTCATGCCCACAAGATCATCCATGACATACCGATACACGCTCACCACGCCCCACCCATTACTCCCTCCGGGCGCTCCTCCATTGCCGCTGCCACCGCTCCCCACCACATTCCTCGGCGCGCTCACCAGCGAGTTCACCAGCCCGCTCAGCCACCCATCGGCCTTTGCAAACTCCACCGGCTTCGGCACAATGAGCTTCGCGCCGGGCATAAACTCCGAATAGACAACCCCATCCCCGCCATTACTCGAGCCGGACCCGGACTCCTCCATCCCGCCGCTCGGCGTCTTCCGCACCAGCCTCGGCGACGGCGGCGCCGGGATGCTATTCCTCCTCAGCGGCGGCGCAGGCGGCATATCGATATCCATCTGGGCCGCTGTGAAGGGCAGCGGGACATCACTCGCCGCCTCATCCTTCCACATCGTGATGATGATAGTGCGGCCGCCAATGATGAGCTCCCCGCGGTCGGACCCGGCGACGGCGCGCTCCGCAGCCTCGCGGTCGCGGAACGTGATGCGCACCCAGTTCCCGGGGCCGCCGTCGGCGCCGGCGAGCGGCTGGGTCATCTTGAGCGTCTTGGGGTCGAGCTGGTCGCGCGGGACAATCTCGGGGTCGTGGAACTTGCTTTCGGCGTTGGGCAGGCCCGAGTAGGGCTCGAGGATGACGCCGTAGTAGCGGCGCAGCGAGCGGATGAGCTCGGGGAAGCGCTCCTCGGCGAAATTGGCGACGCGCACTTGCGTGGGCGTGAAGGTGCTCTCGGCGGGCTTCTCCGAGGGCGCGCTGTCGTAGGTGAGCGTGTCGTAGATGGAGAGAAGCGGCGGCGCGTTGGTGTCGGTGCTGTGTAGGGGCGCCTCGTCCGATGTGGAGGAGGTCCGGTTACGGGTGCGACTTGGTCTAAGTTGTGAGTATTTGGCTGCCGCAAATTGAAATAACCCCCCCCAAAAAAGGGTATATGAAAGGGAAACACTCACGGCCGGGAGCCAAACATGGACTTGGGCCAGTTCCCACCGGGTGAGGTGGGTGGTGAGTTTGCGAGGTTCTTTTTTAGTCTGGCAGGAATGTCAGTATATCGGATTAATATATAGAAGCTCTGAATCGTGGGATAACATACGCCGCCTTTCTCCGGCCTTCGAGAGGTTCATCCGCATCCTACATATTGCCATATGTTAGAAACAATGAACCATGATATAAAACTAAGAGTGCGCAGGTATCGTAGGCATTGGGTAGACATTAGGTAGGCATTAGGGTGGGCGGGTAGGCAGGCAGCATGGCTAGCACATATTCCGCCGAAACACCACTCCCGCACTGATTTATATCCCTATAAACAGCCCCCACTTCCCCCCGCGCAAGAAGTTTCCATCCCCGGGGACCAATAGCACACCGCCCCATACCCCATTGCCCCACCAAAACAAAACCAAAACCAAAACCAAAAAACCAAAAAAAAAAAAGAGCATCACTCACCATCAGATTCCTCGCCTCCCCCGGCTGCTGCGTCATGATCTTCTGAATATACGGCGTAGCGGCCGTGTGGACCTGCGGGTTCGCGGGGATGGACGAGAAGGGCACGGGCTGGTTCGCAAACAGCGGGTAGTCCTGCGGCGTGGTGATGTTCTGGCGCGTGTGCCAATTGTTGAAGCGCTTGGACTTGTTGAGGTCTTCGTCGCCCGCGGTGGCACCAGCGGCGGTCGAGGCGCCGAACATGGTGGTGGTGTTTCCAAAGTTGAAGGGGGCGCTGGAATTGGCGAAGGGGTTGGCGGTGTTTGTGTAGTCCATCGTGATGGTCTCTTTTTTTGGGGGGGAGGAGAGGGATGAGTATGTGTGGATGGGTGTGTGTAGATGTGTGTGTGTGTGTGGTTTGTGCTGGTGGGAGAGATGAGGCCTGACTGACTTGCTCGAGAAGGCCGTGATGGGAGATTTGATGGTGGTTGGGTTGTCAGTCGGTGGGGATTCGTGACACCGCGCGTTGTGTTTTGGTGATGTTCTCTTTGTTGGCCTTGGCGGCAACTGCAAAACACCGCGGCAACACGGCAGGGTAACATCACAGCGCGTCACTCGGCCATCCAATGTCAATGATAGCAGGATGGGAATCTCGCACAAGGGGTCTTTTTTATTTTATTTTATTACTTCTCTCGACTCACAGTTTTAATTACGAGTTGAGCTTTCGGACCAAAAACAGTACTCATAAACACTAATATATTTTTTTTATTGGTAACGGGGTCTATCACCTCATCGATGTATACATTTCAATACATAAATGGCCCCCCCCTCCTCTATGCTGCAATGTTCTCAAACTCAAACCTCGGGTTGCCCGGCTCCGCGTTCTCCGCAATCTGCGACAGGCTCGCCTTGTTCTCCTCGCTCACAACCGTGATGATGACCTCCTTGCACCCCGTGTTCTTCTTCAGCGTTGGCAGCACCTGCTCCAGCGTGTTGACCTCGTCGAATACCAGTTTGCGATCAAACACCGTTGCGTACGGCTCGCTCTGCAGACGTCTCTTGAGGGTCTGTACAAAGGGCATGGCCTTCTTCATCTCGCCGAGCTTCTGGATCTTGGGGTTGAGCTCCTTGTCGTTGACGCTGAGCTTGACTTCGTCAAAGGCCTCGCGCACGAGATCAATGTACTTGTCTTGCCAGGCAGGGTAGGTGAGGGCGACAAAGATGGTGAGTTTCTTGGGCTGCTGCGGGTCGTAGGCTGTGCCCTTACCCTTGGCCTTCTTCTTCATCTGGGCGGCTTCGGTGGAGGTGATGTTTGTGGAGATTGCGTGTACATAGTTACGCGCAGCGGTGAGTTCTAGGGAAATGGGCGCGGAAAGCTTGGGGAAGAGCTCGTTTTGGATGGTGGTGGGCTATTTTGGGGCAGATGATATTAGTAAAGTGACTTGTTTGTACCTGTAAGTGAATAGTTGGCTTTAACTCACCTGCTTCAACAGATCCTGCCAGATGTATTCAGCCCAGTGGGGAGCAATTGGGTTGATCATCAGAGCCTGGCGCTTGATAAAGTCGAGAACCAAGTCTTTGTGCATTCCAATAGCAACAGTGGCCTCACGGTAAGTGTCACGCGCAGACTGGAAGTCGTAGAACCCGGTCTTGAGCGCAAGCTTATAAGACGTCCTAAGAACAAGTCAGAACCCGCCAGAAATGCACGACGGCTCGCAAGACAAATTAAACTTACCCTTCGTAGTTTTCCCTTGTAGCTTGGGTAAGCTCGTTCATCTCGTTCTCAAACACCTTATCCCAGAAGTTGTCCTTAGGTCCGCTTCTCAGCTTTCCGGCTTCGGCGGCCTTCACCATATCCTCACACCATTCCTTCAAAGTGTACCTGAATATATGTGAGTACAAGTCCAGGAAATGTTCAAATACTGGCAACTTACAGTCTAAGAACCGATGTTGACGCAACCTTCTCTTCAAAGTTCGCGTCTTCAACACCATCACCTGCGTCGGAGAGGGCAATTCTCGCCGCGTCGGCACCAAACTTCTTTACCGTCTCTTCCAGCGTCAAGAAGTTTCCAGTGTGCTTGCTCATCTTTTCTCCGTTAAGCATAAGATGTCCGTTCGCCCTGACACCCTGTGGCCAGTGCTGTGGTGGGAAAAGTGCAATGTGGATGTACAGGAAGAAGGTAAGATGGTTCTGGATGAGATCCTTTCCAGAGACACGAACATCAAGAGGATAGAAGTACTCAAACTCCCGGCGCATCTTCTTGAGCCATTCCTCCTTGATTCCGGTAGATGTGAGGGCATCCGCGCTGAGCTCACGGCGAGTAAAGATGTAGTCAAACACCTCGTCGGTCATCTGCTCAGCCGTGATTCCGGCAAGACCAAGGGCCTTTCCGTCAATAGAGCTGTGGAGGTAGTGCGCAATCGTGTAGTAGGCCATGTAGATAGTTGAATCAGACAAACTCTCGACAAGGAACTGAGGGTCCCACGGAAGCTTGCTTCCAAGGCCGTAAGATCTGGCGCAAGCCCACTGGTTCAACCAAGCGAGGTTTGCTTGGAAGCCGTGCTTAGTCTCCTCGTGATAGGTCTTGAGCTTCTCTCCGACCAAACCCTCGGCTTGCTTCCTCCAGGTCGCCTCTCCGTAATCGAGGTACCACTGGTCGCACAAAGCAACAACACAAGTGTCTCCAGAACGGGACAGGACATGGCCCTCAGGCTCGCTGTAAACGAAGGCTTCCTTTTTCTTCAAGAGGATCTCCCGAACCTTGGGCTTCGCGGCCTCTACTTTCTCACCCTTGAATTCACCAATAAGCATAGTTCCCTGGTAGAAACCCTCCTTGTACGCCAGCTCCTTAGCCTCTGCCAATGGCTTAGCATCCTTTGGAGAGTTAATCTTCAGCTTCTTCACCAAGAACTCGGCAGTCAAGTTTCCGTATGATGGGGTGTTAATGATAGGGACGATTTCAAGTTCAGCCCACTCCTTCTTGATTCCGTAGTAGTCAGCCTTTTTGGCAAGGTCTGTGACAGTTGCATAGTCGTCTGGCGAATCTGATGGTACAGAAGTAACAACACCAGTTCCCTTGGTGGCAAGAACTGTCTCCATAGGAAGAACGCGGACACCAACTGTGTGCACAGAAAGAGGAGCATACACAAGAGACCCAACAAGGGCCGACCCAAGGACTGTGGCAACGGACTTGTAGACACCACGCTCAGGGAAGATACCCTGGAAAGCCATGTTCCTGGCAGCGCGCTCGGTGCAGACGTAGAACTCAGTGGGGGAAACTTGGTAAACTCCGTAAGAGATCTTGGGGCCGACAAAACAGCATGTCTGGCCGTACCTGCCATATCGTTAGAGGGAGCATGATTTATAATGAGCAGCGGTAAAAGTGAATAGGACCTACATCGTCTCCGGCCTCAGTGTAGCGGCCACCAGGTGAACTTCTGCGCCCTCTGGCAATTTCCCTTCCAAAGTTTTCTTGCCCTCCTCTGTCCACTCTAAGACCTTAATTTTGATAGCCGTGTATTCCTGAGGGCCAACACCCTCTCCATCGCTTCTGTCGTGGTCCATGCAAGGCTGTCCATCTTTTGGTGAGTAGATTGTGTAACGCTCTCCGAACTTGATCTTTCCAAGCTCCTTCAGACGGTTCATCTGCCAGCGGACAAAGGCGTCGTAGTAGGGGTTGGCATCTGTTGTGATAAAGGAGCGGCGCCAGTCAATACGGAGACCAAGAGCTGTACAATCGCGGCGGCAGATGGGGGGGAAGTAGGTGAGCCAGTGGGAGGAGTCGGCAAACTTGTGGATCTCTTCTCGGGGAATGCCCAGCGCAAGCATGATCTGGAACTGATACCGGAGCTTGACAGCCTTTGCCGCAGCCTTTCCCTTTTTCGCCGCAAATTTCGTTACATCGTCCTTGGGCGCAGCAGCACTTGTTGGGGGAGCCGGCTCGTCGTCATCCTCCGCCGGTACGTTCTCAAAGTTCTCGCCAAACAGTTCGACTTCACTAGCCAATAAATCTCGTCAGCTTACCTTTTGCGAACCTACAGAAAATAATGGAGGCTTCATAATACGAACCGCGTGAGCTTGTCAGCACAAGCCTTGATCGGCATTCCAGTGCAGTGGAAGCCGAGAGGGAACAAGGCCCTTTTCCCTGTCATTCTTGCGTATCCAGTCTGGAACTCAATTTTGCTCAATGAAAATGAGTGTCCTGCATGGAGATTTCCGTTCATGTACGGGTATGCCATGCACCCGAAGAACTTTGGGTGGTTCTTACGGAGGGTTTCTCCATCATACGCAGGATCTTCCTCAAGCGTTGGTGGGTCGGTTTCGAAGATACGTTGTTCGGCCCACTGAGCTTGGTACTTCTTCTCGATAGCGATGAGGGTATCTCTTTTCTCTGTCTGCGAGTGGGCAACTTGCTTAGCTGGAAGAATCGGGAATAGTGAGTCAGCACTGATAGGAAACACTCACGTTCTCAAGCTTCAGAGTGGCCTTTGAGGCGTTCGAGGGGTCTGTAGCATCTACGGACGCCATGATTGGAGCAATTTCACCGCAACTAAGCTTAAGGATATGCAGACGAATTTGAGGCCTGGTGTAGCCGTCGAAAGGTGTCTTTAGCGGGGATGATTTTAAAAAAACTGCCCCTCAATTCATGCAGGACCAACCCCACTATTTGCCAAGACCCTGCATAATCCAAGGGACACCATTACCCGGCCTTTTCTTTGCCCTAGCTAACTGCAACTAGGATCAAATTCCGAACGAGTAACGTAGGGATGACCAAAAACACCGTGATACTGCCGGGTCTATGTATATTGGCTCGTTCGAATGGGTTCGAGCTCTAATTGGGCGATATGTGGTGACAGAGATATGTGGTGACAGAGGGAAGATTCCTTGATACATCAGCTACATATATGCTTAGGGGATACAGTAGATTCTGTTAATTTGCGCAATTGCATGCATCATGTACTCATCGGAAATGACTAAAAAGCAGGTACCGCCATAACTCGAAAAATTGGCTAGATCGGAATTACTTGTGTGGGATACTTCTGATGTAGATCGATGCCATCCAACCAATTATTCAAGCGGTAGTCCCTGGACGGAGATAGCCAATTTTTCGAGTTTTGGCGGTATATACACCAAGGGTCACTGCCATTCAACAATTAAGCCAACAAGAGCCCCCAGCGTATGCGGTAATTGTAATTAATACGTGTGCTGGAATGAAATGTAAGCCTCTTAAAATTTCACGATACGCAATTTAGGGAGAAAAGAATAAAACTTTGTATCTTGGCCCGTAAAGTCTTAGAGGGAGCCTGGAGTTACATGTAGTCAATTGTTGTGCCGATTTATTGGTCATTGCGGCTATCTGTCTCTATGGTACATACAGTCATATACGAGCTGCTCCGAAATTCCAGGGTTTGAATTTGTGAGTCTGCTGCTCCGAAGACGCGGAACTCCGAAACGCACCCATGCATGGAGCCTTGGCGTAACACGACAGTACTACAGCTCCGTGTAGGCACTCTAGCTAGTTGGTAGAGAGAGTTCTTCTATCCACCAAGGTTCTACCTCTGCACATTCCTCCAAATTCATACTATGTTCTTACATCAGGTGTCGGACATTTGTGTATGCACACCTATTGACCGTGTAGGTCTATTCGTAAAAACCTGCGCAAGTATTGAAATTAGCTCGTCTTTAATACGGCTAGTAGATTACAATTGGCCAACACTACAGGGACACCACATTTTCAAATAATTATTTAGGATACGTGAAATTTTGTAACTACAATATCTTGAAGCTACTTTGATATAAAAGAGAGATTTCCCACTGCTGAAGCTTAAGGCCCAACAACATTCAGAACCATTCATTACAACGCTTGAACAATACCCCGCAATCACCAGACCACAGTAATATTCCCCACTTCAAACTTCATCTTCAACCACAATGGCATCTGCTAGCACCGACTCAGTCGCCCAAAACATTACAGAAGTGAACAGAAAGTTCTTCAAGTATGTATATCCTGTTACAAATAAACTCGTACAGCTTGTAACTAACTAGTCTGTACGAATCTCTAGCGATCAGGCAGAGAACTACAGCACTAATGCCTCGCATCAGGAGGTAATCCGGATTGTCGGAGACGAAGTCCTCAGACGTAAGGAATGGTCTGGAGTGGCTTGGGATGAGGATAATACTCGTTTACTGGACTACGCTTGCGGGACGGGTCTGTTCTCGAAGGTATGTTCCCGGAATTTGCAATAGAAAAACGAACCTCATGGCTAACAACACTGGCGGCCTATAAAGGTTCTGGCTCCGTACACAAAGCAGCTCATTGGTATGGACCTCTCTGAGGGTATGGTGGACATATTCAATAGATCGGTAACACACCTCATGTACAAGTATTATTACTTGGATGAATTTTAAACGTGAGACTGATATTACCCAGGTCCAAAATCAAGGAATACCAAGTGAAGAGATGCGCGCTATTGTAGCCGACCTATGCGCCGATGAGCTCGACCCAGTGTTGTCCGACCCTGGTTACCTTGATTTCGACGCTGTTATTAGCACCTTTGCATTGCACCATTTCAGCGATGCCCCGCTTGCCATCAACCGTTTAGTCGAGCGCCTTAAAAAAGGAACTGGTGTATTGTTGATTATTGACTTCAGGACACATGATCCAGTGGTCCTTCATGGAACTCGCTCGCACGATCAACACCAATATAGCGATGAACACCAACATCATACACATGGGAGCCACGCGGATAACCAGCATCAAGGTCTTGAGGAGTCCGAAAAAACTGAAAACCCTGTGAAATTGCACTCGGGACATCACACCGTGACCTATAACGGATTTTCCGACGAAGAAATCAAACGTTGGTATGGGGGAGCCGGTCTTGTAGACATTGATATTGTTGATGTTGGGCCTGGAACAGGTGTAACCACAGTTGTCAAGGACCCTAAGACAGAGGAGGTGATTAAGATGCAGAGGGGCGTATTTATGGCAAAGGGAAGGCGTGCTTGATGGCACATAAAATGCAAGACCACCACATATACTTGCATTATATAGTGGGGCCACGGAAACTTATAGCTACAATTTCCTTTGTAAACATGATTTTCTCTGCACACACTCTATGTATTCACCAATCTATTTTGATTTGTACTAAACTTTGGGCTGAGCTGCTTGTCATTTTGAAATTGAAATATTTTTAGTGAGCTCCTTAGCTAATTAATTGAGAATATCTGTTCTCGTACTTTAATTCCTTATCAAGCTCGCTGCTAGCTCCTCCGTATTGTGTTCGCAATCATCGTAGAAATGGACCAATCAACGCAAAAATCTCAAAGACAGAGCAACTATGTAGTTAAGTTGGAAAAGCTTAAAAAACGAAAAAGAGAAAGAAAGAAAAAGAAAAAAAAACTCCCCGGGAAATATCCTCAAAAGTTGGTCTTTTTTTTGGACTGACGCTTTGTATATCTGCAGTGATTAATAGCCGTCACGCAAAAACTCAGTTCTAGTCCCAGATATATTCTTTGCGAACGGGGGCTTTGACGGTAAAACAGTTCTAGCGGCCCTTTCAATGATGGACCATTCATGAACTGCTGCCTCGAGCATTGTAAGTTTGGATTTATCCCCATCACCATCCCCTTGCTTAACGTTCTTGACGAGAGTAAAGAGGGCTGCAGGAGATGGAGAACTTTCTGTCAGAAAAGGAGAGACAGACAGCCGGAGAAGAAGAGCGTATAACTAAAAGCACAAAGTGCCGATATTAGCATCTAAACCCTATTGCTTCAGCGAGAATTTCATATAAACCTCAAGAACTCCAACATCCACCCCTGGCCTTCTACCAATAGCTTCAAACCCTTCAAGGCCGGGTATGATTCTCTCAAGCCGAATTCCTTCGGCTCCGAACTCAGCTGTTTTAATTAGTTCATATTTTTGAATATCAGTAAATCCTGCACAATTAACACCAACTCTGACCAAACTTTTCAGTAAGTCAGAATCCAGGTTTGGCATAGATTTTCCATGTTTGATATGACGTTTAAGTATATCAGTTGCTTGAAGCAGGGCATTGAAAATATAGTCCCGTTGTTCAAGGGTGTAGGTATCGACTGAAAACCAGGGGAACTTGGAAACAATCGAAAGGAGTGATTGAAATGGTCTCTGAAGACATTTCCTACTAAATGGACTCTTTAAAACCATTAGTTGAAATGTTTACTTTGAATGGGGTTTTTTTTTTTTTTTTTTTTTTTTTTGGGGGGGGGGTGTGAGACAAACTCTATGCGGGGTTTTTGCATGAGCAACGATCAAGACTAGCTCTTCACGGCCTAAAATCACTGGATTCATTCCACTAAGTCCTGACTGATCCTGTAGAACAGCTGGGATAACACCATCCCAGACAATCCCTTTCGCTCTTGGAAATATCTCCTTCATAAGATCTGATGGGTCTACAACATCTAAGGTGAGATGTCTATTACCCAATACACGACTCTTGCGACGTGCGACGCACTTCCAGGCGTCTTTTGCGTTGAGAAACTCTACAAACGCATCCATAGTTTTACCCTAGAGTCCCATTGAATTAGCGGATGTAAATAAGAACCAAAGGGCACACTAACAGTAGATCTATCCATGATGACATGAACCCCTAAGCTGCCTATAGAATCCGGGACAATGTTTGAATTTTTGCCCAAAAAGTCGGTGAGCTCTGTAGTCGTCACATTGTAGGGTATCTGTTTTAATTCCAAAGACAATATAGTCAGTATTTGAGGTTGGTAATAAAGGTCAACTCCGGTACATACGTTGCCCACTCTAACACAGCTCCAGTTTTGAGCTAAAGCATGCCTCCCCAGCTCGATAAATGGTGCATTCTGTATCGCAGTCTCGGCATCTCTGAATAAGAAATGGTTGATGTTGGGGTCAGCAGGGGCGATAGCTGGAGGCACAGGAGTGATATTTGGTGTCGGATATGCGACGGGTGAAATTGGGAACGATTTTTGAGGGAACTGCTCAGGTTGCCATTTTGGAAAGAGGTTGTAAGGCGTTGGAGATATCGATGGTAAATTAATTGCCGTCTCAGGAAGGTAAGCAAGAACATGAGGGGCCGCAATTTGCGAAACCATATCATAATGTCTGGGTGCATTATTATTCTTCATGGCATCAAAATTTATCATGCATGAAACTGCCTAATGGATGTAAGTCTCAATGATCAAACGATAGTCCATCAAGATGAATTAATAGGCGTGACTAACCTCACCACAACCACAATAAACGGAACTCCCGGATTGCCCTGCTCCCCAATATCTTCCGCCACAGTTTAAGCAAATCAGGCATCCACACGGGCTAACCTTTAACTTTGGTTGTGTGAGGCACTGCGAACAGCCTAGAACAGTTTTGCGCTCAAGCTCAGGCTTAGGCTCAAGCTCAGGCTCAAGCTCAGGCTCAAGCTTAGGCTCAGGCTCAGGTACGACACCGTTCAAATTTGAAACCAAAGGTATATCATCCTTGGAAGACGAATCATACCCGGTTCTATCCCCAGAAGACCGTGGCTTCAAGGAGGAGTATTCAATCACTGGAGCCGAGTCTCTCCTCCAAGGTTTATCGATAGGCCGTGTACTCTTATACAGCCATGTAGGGTTTCCATTGGTATCTCCAGTTGAAGTTTTAGCAATCCTTGGTCTCCAGGTTTTGTTTGGAGGCGTAATAGGATTGGAAGATTCCGTAACGGAAATGGAATTGCAATCAGGGCTATTTCCTGGAATTTGGTCTTTATGCTTTCCTGTGTGGCTCATGTTTTCATTTGTAAGAGGTGCCTCAGAAGGAGTAGGGCTACTAGACCTGGAGATACCGCCATCTTTATTGAAGAAACCGGACTCGAGATATTCGGAGCTCCTAGTCTTTCCTGAGGCCTCGTTGATCTTCCGAGCATCTGATACGGCGTCCTTGATCCCAGAATTCTGAGCATCCGAAGAAGGGGATCCATCTTGGGTGTCGAAATTAGGTTTCATCATTGTGAATGGTGTGGTTTGGCTAAGCTGTGGGCTAGGTGGGAGGAACTCGGTTGCATGGGAGTTACACTGATGCCAAAAACTCTGCTCATGAGAATGAGCTTGATCAAAACCCATTCCGAGAAAATTACAGGAGCAGTTCGGGGGAGGGGAGGGGGAAGAAATAGGGACGGTGCTAGGAGCGAAGAATGCTGAAAATGGCCAACGGCTCCTAGGATTGAAGTCGATGGAAGGCATATCAAGCAGATAAGAAATGTATTGTTTTGACTTTGAAGTAGAACTCAAACGGGTAAACGAGAGATCCAGAGTCGAGAAGGAAGGTTCCCTACCGATGTTTTAAGAAACGAACGAAGATCAAGATGAGAATGAATTAAGTGAGATTAAATAAAGAAGGAAGAAGAAAAGAAAACGGGAAAGGTGGCTCAAGAAAATACAGATATATGAGTCGAAGGGTACTGGTTCAAGACACCTCGCCAAAAAAAACACCTAAATGTACGTGTAATAATGGGTGGAGAGGTGTCAATAAATAAATGACGCATGCTCGGTATATATTACTACATGTAGTGAAAGCAGCTTCCGGTGCCAGTCATCAGTAAATCTAATAAACAAAGCCATAACCACGGTGTGCTTAGGTACTCAATTCGCCTGATAGATCTACCAGCGCGTTAGATTTAGATGGTAGTGCGGAGCTCTGATCCTTTATATCATCCAAAGTGCTGATAAGTTGAGTGATAGTTTGTGATATAGATCTCTCATGCTGTTGTAACCCCGAATGTTATGACAATATAATCTAACATTTCCCTAGATCTAGAACTTTCCTCCGTCCACAACATAAGGAGACAAAGCGAGTATAAACGTTTTTAAACAATTTTGATCACCCATTTTCTCTTCTCTTGCCATACATACGGGGGGCCGCTGTGTCTACTCTTTGAATGCCCAATTTTCTACCGGGGTAGTGAACGTTTTCTCTTTGATGTATCCTCGGTTTGTCTACTGTTTCCCCGACTTATCTATAAGTAGTATCGCTTGTCGCTAGTCATGGGAAGGAGAGTGGGCCGGATCCTCACTGGACGATCTTCGATCTTGACTTGAGGTGGGCGGATATAGATCTCTCATGACACAATCTCTCGTAGATACTGTTACGCGTTATATTCTGGTACTATTAAATAATCGTCTCGGACTCTAATACCCCCGTATTCTAAGTTCTTGGCTCCCCTAGCATGGCTCCCGCAATTCCTAGCCTAATGTATTTTGTACGCAGCTAGATCAGTGCTTATATAGGTAAAAAAAAAAAGGTCTATAGTCGGTCACAGAAATTCGAAAACCTTGCTGATCATCCGCCTACTAATTAGGGGATTACGTAGTCAGCATTATGGGACTGTGGGAATATGATGAATTAGTGATGCGAGATGTTCTGTCAGTATGCATACTTATGTAGTCTATAGTCTTATTCATGCAAAGAAAAGGAAAGAAGCGGTACTGCCCCAATTGGGACTTGTTTTTGGGTGCACGGGAGCTACATGTACACGCACAAGTAGTTTGATGTAGTTGAGTCTGGTCTCGTGCGAGCCTTCACTTGGAGGGGGCCGGAGACCTGGGGAAGAAAGACAAGAATATGGGCGAACAAGAACATGGCTATACATATAACCCTATGTGTATCAGCGGCCCATTTTTCTATAGTAGATACATGTACATGTACTTTGATGGATTTCAATCCTTCCTCTGTCAACATCTCTTGGAATACAAAATGTAGATCAATATAGGAGCGGCCATATTCATATTCATATCAACACTGCCATTTATTTAGACCTGTATTTGTATTTATACAGAAATGAGGCTTGCTCGTTACCATTGGATATATCCATAAGAATCCCAATCTGTCAAGAGTACTAACAGAATCATAAATTCTTTAGCATAGCTAGCCTCGGGAAGGGATGTTGAATTTATTGCCTCATCTACAGCTATACCCCGTCTTCTAGAGTTATGATTTTAAAATGAACCATAGTCGATAATGTTGATATATTATATATTCCTGTTCTTTGGCTTGCACTATAAGGATCATTATAGAAGACCCCTTACCATCCATATTTGGAGCCGGCCTCTTTCTTGTTCCTTTTCCCTTGGGCAAAGGCGTCTTCCAAAGCACCCCTTTGCGATTGTGCGGCTACAAATAAGGTCGATTAGCAAATCAACAAAACCCGGAGATTCTACATTTATAAAGGAATAAGATTATACCATTGAGTAATGAGGAAAGCTGGTGTTTCCCTGGAGCAATGCTTCTGACAGGTTTTACTTCTTCTAGTAGCCCCATTGACCTGCTGAGTTCATTATTATTATATTCCTGATCCACACTGTAATTGGTGATATTGATGGGGGCATTTCCGCGGCCTCGTCGGCCATAGAGCTGGCGCATCTACTCTCACGTTAGCGTTGAGTTTATTTGAATATATAGTACACATACTGCAGCGTCATCAAGGCCAGCTTCTCGTGCAACTGTCTCTAGGTCTTGTGGTACATTTTCAACACTGGTGCCGACTGAATTCGATTCAGGATTTATGACTCCATTTGTCTCTTCGAAGTAGGGGCTTTCATCTCGAGCACCAGACGTCCCCTTTGGTTTATTCGCGGGTGTTGCGGCCATGAGCATTATTGGCTGGTATTCGCCTGGAGCTATAGATTTTGTTGTTATTTTCGTGGAAGGCGACAGGCTTGGACCTTTTTGTTTTTTTCTGTTAATTATATTTGGTCATTACGTCCAGAGAATTTCAATCATACCTGCCCCAAATAAATAAACCTTTTGTTTTGTAGCTGTTGATTTAGATGTAGCACTTTTAATAGCTCCTGAGTGCTTAAACGAGCTCGTAGGTTGAATAGGTTTCCTAGCTACTGACTGTGGAACAAATCTAGTTGATCTATTCACACCCTCATTTTCACGTAAAGATTGTTTTTTATCCTCTTCAACCCTTTCGATTGCTCCCTCATCTACGTTGTGTGTTTCTTGAGCTACTGAAGGAGCTGATGGAGGAGGGGTTGGAGGTGACGGTGGGGCGCATTCCTCATGACTGCTCCAGACCTTTTTGGCGCTGGTAGCATAGAACTCAAACCTGAACTCCCTCCAATCTTTGTTTTTTTCGTCGGAGGTCCATCATCGACCTCATTGTCATTGAGTTTTGGAAGGTTAACGATTATTTTTTTAGGGCCACTATCCTCGCCACCACCCCCGGCAGTCTTCCGTGCACCCTTGGGTTTTGGAAGTAATGCAGAAAGTCCGGGTCTTTGTGGCTGCGATTGTGGAGGAGGTGGTGTGGATGGTTTTTGTTCTGATTCAGAATCGCTGTCAGAGGTGTAATCGACGAGCGCGAGCATTGTTCACGAATATTTTGGGTGTGGAGCTCGAAGTTGTTTGTCAACAATGTCTAAGTGACGTTGGTTGTCAGGGGTTTTTGATCATCCGGGTAACTCAGCTACTTGACACTCTAGTGAAAGTCAGCCATTCAAATGATCGACGCTATCCTTTTACCCCTGCCCTGCTTGTGGGTGCGTCACAAAATGTCACTCGATGACTTCGTTGGAGAGCATTATAGGACAAATACATCTTGGTACAAACTAAATATGGCTACAATTACTCTATATATTTTATTTAATAAATAATTATGTAGGTTCCTCAAAATTATTGACGTTGAGTGATTGCACATGACCTTCAGAAAGTTATGCCAAGACATAGGGCTTAGCCCTCACACAGTCCGAGTCTCACCCACAATCTTTCTCACACATCGAATCTTGGTCCTGCGAAACTTCAGCGAAAAACAATCCAACGACAACCAACGCCAACCGACCACCCCCCCCCTCTTATCGCGCCCTCCGATATCGACTGTCACAAGGTATATACACGAATTTCAACCATGGCTGATAACACCGAATACGTGAGCTTCCCAGCTATCCGTCGTTTTGGGCGAAAGGAGGACGGATCTTCTTTGGGTGGTGGTGGAATTGTTAGCTAATGATTATATGATAGGACCCCGTTGAGGCTGCCGGTACGACTCCCTAGGATTTGGAAGGAGTGGTGGGGTGGTGGATTTGTACTGACGGGAGCACTTTGGTCAACAACAGAGAAGAAGAAGAGCAGAACCTTCCGCAAGTTCTCATACCGCGGTGTCGACCTCGACCAGTTCCGTCTCCCAATACCTCATCGCTATATACAACCTCAGCTCTAACGAACTAAGTATAGGCTCCTTGATCTCTCCTCAGAAGAGCTCCGCGATCTCGTTCATGCCCGCGCCCGTAGACGGTTCAACCGTGGCTTGAAGCGCAAGCCGATGGGTCTTATCAAGAAGCTTCGCAAAGCTAAGAAGGAGGCCAAGCCCAACGAAAAGCCCGACCTCGTCAAGACCCACCTCCGTGATATGATCATTGTCCCTGAGATGATTGGATCAGTCATTGGCATTTACTCCGGAAAGGAGTTCAACCAGGTTGAGATCAAGCCTGAGATGGTTGGATTCTACTTGGGAGAGTTCTCAATCACATAGTACGTGCATTCCTTAGGTGTATATGGGGTATTAAGGGGATGGGGGAATGGGAGGGATGGAGAGTACAGAGACAATTAGGAAAAGCCAGAATACTGACGCGTTTACGAATTTTTAGCAAACCCGTTAAGCACGGTCGTCCCGGTATCGGTGCCACCCACTCTTCAAGGTTCATCCCGCTCAAATAAACGGCTTTTCTTTTCTTTGGGGGTTTGGGGTTGGGATACATCATGACATGATTTCACACGTGTTGTGCTTGTATTAAATAAATAAAATTTACTTGTGGTCCCAAAATTCTTCTACCGGGTAGAGGAGGAGGCTATGGCGACAATAGGATGTGAATATTCGGAGTCGATCCGCTTACTTTGGGTTTTGGGGGTTTCGGTTATATAAATTTACAATATCCAATACCGTGCAGAATATCCTTAAATTTTCATATTATTTGTTTCTTCGCTGCTGAAATTTAGCTAAATAATACCAACGAACAAATTGTGTAGTTTATATGGGGGTTAATTTGATGTTTAATACCGCCAAAACTCGAAAAAATTGGCTATCTCCGTCCAGGGATTACCACTTGAATAAATGGTTGAATGGCATCGATCTGCATCAGAAGTTTCCCATACAAGTAATTCTGATCTAGCCAATTTTTCGAGTTATGGCGGGCGGTATGTGGTATCTCATATATTTCGTATTAGATAGAGAACCCTCTACTAAATTATGCTATGATCAAGATTGGCAAGTACGCTAGAGTAGAGTATTGGTTTCGGATGGTGTATGAATGTCAATCAAGGCGCAACATAAAGCTAATTCAGGGCATATACCCCCACATCTTTATAATTTTGTTTGGAGAACATTGTCCTTGAATTCCAGGTACCGTAATACTTGAACAAAAGGTGCTAGTCGTTCTGAATTAGTAATACAACATATTTTGAGTTATTTGTATTCGATATAGCATTTGTAGTTCGATATGTAAAAGTAGCTTGCCTTCTAAACTACATAACGCCACATTTGAATCATTAGCCTCTTGTGGCGACTTTAGTGGCTCAGTAAACGTCACCCCGCCAATACACCATCTTCGTTCCACTCCTTGCCAGCACCTCCGATCCTTCTTATCCATCCTCATCATTCTTCTTTCTCCTTCATCTCTGTTGGCTTCACATCTACCCCACCGAGTCATCCGAAAGAATAAGGATTTGCTATAATTCAAAATACCGAAATGAGTTCTATACCAGGTAAAACACTCCCCTTTGCTTCTTCCAACTGTCACCCCGCACTGACATCCCACCTTTTAGTTGTTGTTACCCATGCCGGAAAACGCCACGAGCTTGAAATAGATATCTCTCAACCTGGAGAAGTTTTTAAATTCCAGCTATATTCCATCACTGGCGTCGAACCCGAGCGACAAAAGGTCCTGATTAAAGGCGGACAACTAAAAGATGATACGGATCTCTCTTCACTGGGTCTGAAACCAGGGCACAAGTTCATGATGATGGGAACCCCAGCTGGTAAACATGTTCAAGCGCCCAAAGAAAAGATGAAGTTTCTCGAAGACTTGACAGACGCCCAGCTCGCTGCGTTTGGAGGCTCTACTCCATCTGGACTGCAAAATCTGGGCAATACCTGCTACATGAACTCAACTCTTCAAACCCTTCGATTTGTACCAGAGCTCCAGGAGGAGCTACAGAAGTATCAGAGTAGTGGCCCGTCCGCAGGAGCTCTTGGAGGAGCTAGTGGATCAAGCTCTTTATTGTCTGGTTTGGGTGGAATTGCAGGTTCTGATTTGACATCAGCGCTGAGGGACTTGTATAAACAGATGGGCCAAACTACTGAGGGATTCCCACCAATGATGTTCCTTGGTGCTCTTCGGACGGCGTTTCCGCAATTCGCACAAAAGGCAAAGAACGGACAATACTCTCAACAAGATGCAGAGGAGTGCTATTCTCAAATACTCTCACAGCTTCGCCAAAAGCTAAAAATTCAATCAACAGACGGATCTTCGAGCGATGTCTCATTTGTCGATAAGTACTTGTCCGGACAGATGGTTTCCACTCTGAAATGCAACGAAGATACCCCAGATGAACCACCCGTTGAGACTACCGAGTCATTCGTGAACTTGAAATGTCACATTAATCAATCCATCAATCACTTGCGCGACGGCCTGATTGCTGGCTTGACTGAGGAAATTGAAAAGAATAGTCCTGCCCTAGGGAGAGATGCCATTTACACTAAAACCAGTAAAATCACACGTCTACCTAAGTATTTAACTGTAGGTGGACCTATCTAGTCTCTGAAGTACTCGGTTTGTTAATATTGCCGCAGTGTCATTTTGTCCGTTTCTACTGGAAACGTGAAATAAACAAGAAAGCCAAGATCATGCGTAAAGTAACATTTCCTTTCGAGCTTGATGCCTCGGAATATTGCACCGACGAACTCCGTGCAAAATTGATCCCTGTTCGCGACCGCCTCCGTGACCTTCGGAAGGACGCAGAAGATCGTGAACGGGCTCGTAAAAGACTCAAGCGCAGCGCAGCAAGCCCCGATGATGTTGCCGGCGGAAATGCTGGCATGGGTGGCTTTGGGTCTGCCCAAAGTAAAGCTGCAGAAGCGAAAGAGGAGGCCGAGAAAACCGCTGCTGCAATAAAGGTGGCAGCAGACGATGCGAATGCCCCGGATTGGGAACAAGAATTAAAGGACAAATTAGACCCCGGTCTCGCCGCCGACGATGGGTGCAACCCCAGTGGGCTTTATGAACTTATGGGTGTTATCACACACCAAGGGGCTAGTGCAGACTCGGGGCATTATTGCAGTTACGTTAAGAAAGAGGGTGGAGATGGAAAGACCTGGTACTTTTTCAACGACGATAAGGTTTCCGAGGTTGAACAGGACAAGATCGAATCTTTAGCTGGTGGCGGTAGGTTTACGTCCCTAAAATCCAATTAATCTGATATCGTGAATTCAAACTAATGAGATGTGTGTTTTGTAGGAGAAAGTCACTCCGCTCTTATCCTATTATACCGTTCTGCCCCTCTTACTGCGCCTGATTCGGAAAAGAAATAGAGTTAAATGTTCAGCTGGATAAATTATCTCATTTCCAATAGGCTCTGCCACGGCTATTACTTACAGGTTCTGCTAGAAATCAAAAGTAAAACGTTTGTGGGATGGTCAGTGGTGTGAAGTTTCGTTTCCTAGGTATATACGAGGGGCAAGGGACTACGATACCTTTATAGGGAAATCTTTTAAAGAATCATGTGATTCGGGGAAAAAGGCCCTATTACCATCACCAGATATTCAGTGATTGTTGAAGCAATACCTTTGATTGATTTTTACTGCCAAGATTTATACCCATGTGAAGGCTGAGACAGCGTAAATGCTTTAGAAGCGGATGATAGGAAGTAAATATATGCGATGCCATAGTAGAAAGTATTTCTAGTAGTGGAAATTATCCCCTGGCTGATATGATCTCTTTGAGTGAGTGGACACATTTCATATCACGTCTAAGCCAAACCCCCACAAATTCAATACGTGCAACCTAGTGCTCGTGGCAAATTTCTTATCCGTAACAGAGGGCCAACTCTAATTTAATTATCGCTCTTCTTTATTCGTATGTACATATTATAATACATCTAATGTGAACCCGCTGCTCATGTGCTAATATTTATAATAACGCCCGATCACGACTATATTCGTGTATGCTATTGGGCTGTGCGTGTTCCGATTCGGCTAGAGGGTCTCAACAAATCAAAGAGGTACCTATGAGGTTCTGTTTTGTCGGCTGCATAAAAAAAAGCGAGATGCACCCGCGGCCGGTACAATTTTAGTGTAGTATCGGAACGAATCCATTATTCCGAAGCAGTTTGGTTCTGCTGCGTCTGAGTGACATCGCGTATAATTAATTTGAAGTACGTAATTATAAAGGTACATGTAGCTGCTGCAATCCGCTGACTCGGTTATGACAGTCTGCAACAATGCTCATTCAAAGAATGCCATGGCATCTCATTTATGTAATGTCGTCCAAAGACTGCAGGCCTTGCCCGTTTCACCTAGTATACTTTGATCTGCTGCGCTGCTAGCTCCGATCCTAGCCTAAAAACCTAATCTTAACGTTACAATGATGACTTCCGCATGCACAGCCTTTCTTGTTGTGTTTGGAGACAAACAGGCTGTATATTCAGAATCTGATGGTGATTTAAATGCTAACTTTACACCCGGGACTATGACGAGAAGTTCTTTTCTCAATTATGGATCACGATTACCAGGTAGCGCTATAGCCCAATGAAGGCATAAGGGTTAGACGACTTTACGGGGGTGTGGTCAATACGGGGGTATGGTCAATTCCAAGATTTTGTATGGAAACCAAAAGAGGTAGTCGATCAACTCCCTGCGTATCATACATCACTCCGGCGTATATTTGAGATTGACCGTACCCCGTGTTGACCGTACCCCGTGTTGACCGTACCCCCGTGAAAGCGTCTACATGTAACCCAAAAAAGGTAAGCGGCATATATTTTCGAGGGTCGCACTGATGTTTGCATTATGACATGACACGCACAAAGCTAGCCCTAGTATTATGAAAGCGCCTATGACGATTTGCCATGACGGAATAATCCTCACTGCGTGTGTTCAACATATAAAAAAACATCGTGTGCTGTGGGAGCCTAGGATTCGAACTGCGCTAAACGCCGTGCAATTTGGCCGAGTGATGATTGGTGATGACGCAGCGTCGACATCAGAGAAGAAGAAAAAATGTGAACATCGCACGTATGTACATGAATCAAAATATAACCAATTTAATCGAAATAGCAAAGAAAAACGATCTAATTATGATCGATTTTTTTCAGTAGGAAAAAAGAAGCCCCAGCAAACAAACAAAGAAAATAATATCACCAAGTCCAGTATCCTAGCGCCGCCGCCTACGGGGCGCTTTGGGGAACCAGCCGCTCCCCTCCTTATCAGAGAAATGGATACGGCAAGAATCGTCGTAACAGGCTGTCCAACTCATTGAACCGTGCTGCGACTCGCGCGGTATATTTTGTATGTTCTGAGGGGGGACCGGAAGATGCGATCTTGGATCGTCTGGGTCCATAGCTTCGATACGGATATCTTCAGCGCGGACAATGGTAGGTTTTTGGGGTTTGATGTGTCTCCTCCTGCCATGTTTGATATTGCTTCTGCCCCGGGGGTTTATCCAAGGGTCAGGGACCTGTGACTTCGGCTGCCCTTCATTGACTTTGTTGTTGACATTGAGATTTTTCACATCTGCCCCTCTTGCATCCGTATCTATACCAGCTACAATGTATTAGTTTGCGCTCTTTATTATGTAGATTTTTATACAAAATTAGGGGAGTGCTATTTCAGCCTCACCACAAACCTTTAAGATCGACAGGGCGGCTTTCCATGGTCTTAGGGGCAGGAGATACGTGGTTCATCGTGTGTTCAGCACAGAAGCCGAGTTTTTGCTGACTCTTGGGTGTAAGAAGTGCTGGAGATATTGTTTTGTTGAATGCCGATGTTGATGTGGGATAGAAGAAAGAGGAGGGGAAGCGAGTGGCTATTTGTACTCAAAACACCTGCTGGTTACAGCAATAGCATATCCAATTTCGGCGGCTTCTGAAATAAAATATCAAGTAGGATCAGGATCTTACCTCATAACTTCGTATTCATTTCCCCACTCCGTATTTATTGGTAGTGAGGTTGAAACGTCAGAGGCTAAAGCGGTTAGTGTATGTAATAAAATAAGATAAAAAATTCTGTGATGTTAATATTACTGTCATCTTGCCTTGTGTACCTTGCACTCAAACTCCGTCAGTATGTATAGTTTTCAAATTCGTTAGAGTATCGGTCGGAGTCAGAGGGGAGTTCATATCATGAAGGAGAGGGTGCGCAATATTTCGCTTCATTTGGTGGTACCAGGCATAGAGGATCTGGAAGGCTAGTGGGTAGATATACATGTATTAATGGGATGGAACAGTTTACTTAACCACTTCCACCCTTTTAAAAAGGTTTCCCCCAAATCCACTTTTGGGATCTATTTGGGTGTATTAATGCCCTGGTCATTGAATACATATATTGTGCCGAGAAAAGCTAGGTTTGAAAATCGCTGTACCAAAACTGACTACCCGATATAGCAAATTCAATAAATCATGAAAAAAAGCTTGTTCAATTTTCATAGAAAGCCTGTAAATTACAGACATCGTTTCAGCTCAAGGAATCAATAAAGGAAATCGGAACACCCAAAAGAATAAAGTAAAAACGCGTTCTATCCTGATCAACTTCTTCAACTCCTCTCCGAAAAATAGTGATAGAAGAGAGAGATCATGAGTTCTTTCCACAAGGAAACTGCCGGCGATAATTTGTGCACAACTTCCTCGAATTGCCGTATAAAATTCTCCAACTTTCGTGCAAGTGGCTAATGGGTAGTCATGTTTGTCGAATGATATATAAAGCACACAGATTATTTGTGGTAAATTCAATAGTGATATCAGACCATAGCATGTGTTTTAGTCCAATCCCTTGCTGTTCGTGTGATTCGGTATTACTACAAATTTTGTTCTTGAAGTTTGGGAGGCTTTTTGGGAAATAATGAACCTACCAGTCTGTATGGCCGCCTTTTCATCCTCTTTCCATCTTTGAGCAACATCGTTTGCCAAAGGATCGTCCGGGTTGGGGGCACCAAGGAGAGCCTGGATACTCAACAAGATCGTTCTGATTTGGAGAGCTGGAGACCAGTTTCCTAAAAAAAAAAAAGAAGAAAAAGAAGAAAAATTAGCATTCCTGTTTATATATCGTTTCCTCTCTCTATTTGTTTGGTTTGCGATGTCATAGCCTGATCCGACTCTAACTCCGACTCCGACTCGTAGTATCCGTTTCGGGTTGCTAGCACTTTAGAGACACACCTTTAAGAACATCAAGGCAGATCCTCCCGAGCTTGTCAATATTGGGATGGTAGATCTTGGTCAAGAAACGGATTTTGGGAGGTGTCATCGGGTAATCTTCAGGGAGGAAAAGCTCGAGACGGAAGATCCCTCCCTCATATGGGCTCTGCGCGGGTCCGTGGATCTGGAGAGCTATTAGCAAGGGGCCAGAGAATAAGGGACGCTGGAGAGCAACGAACAGTGACATCGAAATACCGGAGGTTGTCTTCGTGTGGAACAGCGTTGATTCCTGGAACTCTGTATGTATAGTATTATTGTCAGTTTCCCAGGCTTAGTAAACAGGCCCCATGCAATCACATGGAACTCAACATGAAAAACAGATACAGTTTTAGGGAAATGGGAGTGTTGCTAAGAGCGAAAGAGACAAGCACTTACGGTTCCGCTACAAGACGTTCGGTCTCCTTGATGATGCGTTTTGGAAGAGCCATCTCGAGTGTTTTAGAGGCGGAACGAAGAGGGAGTGCGGGGTTGTATGGGAATGAAGATAAAGGTGGGGTGGCGGTTGATGGTTAGTGTTAGGAGGTGGAGCACTTCAAGCCTGCTTCTGGGTAACCTTTGTGAAACAAGTTTATCAGAGCAGCAAGGAATAATGGGGATAATGGAGAAAGTATTCAGAGGATATCCCCAAATGAGCGAGAGTCGAGAGTGAGTGAGTGGGCGAGTGTTGTATCATAAAGAGAAGCTACACTAATAATGTGATCTGGAGGAGTAGATCCTAGAAGGCCACAAGTGGCATGGATAGAGGTTTGTCACAAGTGTAGGTACTAGTACTTTAACTACTAGCTAATTCGTGGGTAAAAGTCCTCAGTCTCATACCGAGTACATGTAGTAAATATCTCAATTCACGTATGTATCAAAAAAGGTGTTGCCTTCAGATAACCAATTTGGGCCACCAACCACCAGTGCACCTTTTTCATCGCCTTAGAATTGACCAAAAAAATTAGCAGAGCTTAGCCTTTGAAACATGTGCCCGGGGGAGGGTATTGTAGATGAATCGTAGATCGAAGGGTTTCTTTGGCATGTACCTACATACCTACTGGAAAAACAGAACACATGATTACCGCTGCAGACACCTCATACAAGAGCCTTTTCTAAGGATTTGACGGGAATTTACTGTTATCTCTTCACTTAAACCTAATTTACAGCTCGCAAGGGATCCGCGATCGCGAGATTCGAGAGCCCCTCGTCAAGATTTCAATCGGCTTTCCCCCCTAAATTAACTAACAGATTGAGGTTAAAGGTACAGTACCTACTACATACTGTACCTATCCTAAGAACGCTGGTCCCTGAATACATATTCAAGTCCCCGCCACTACCGCAGTCCTCTCCTCTCTTTTCTCCCCACATGCACCATTTCGTTCGCCCATTTGCTCATCAATCACCTCACCGCCTCCTTGCGAAGATCCTTTGCAGTTGCTGGTTTCTTGCGTCTCACCTTCTTTTTTCGCTCTGACAGAAGCTTCTTCTGTTGACTCTAAGACAAAAACCATCATCGGTTCTGCGGCTGCTAACGCGGTAACAACGATATCTATTACGTACTTTTACCTTTTTTCTCAGGCTCTTCTTTTATACAAGGTCTTGTGTGTGTGTGTGTGTGTGTCTGCTTTAGCAAGTTGGATGGGCTGCTTCGACCACGGCGCGAATAGTGGCGACTTAAACGATTACTTGCTTACCTCTATCCCGACGACGAGTGCTTTCACAGCTAAAAGGATTCTGCAACTCCTGTCAAGTTTACATACGGAGGGGAAGGGGGGCGAGAATCTTGCAAAGTCGTAAAGTCCGCATTCTTCCTTGGTACCTACCTGTTCACCCTTATAATTGAATTGAGTACATTCTTTTTGAGCGCATCTATAACAAGTGCGTTCTGAACTCTCAAAAAGCCTGAGACCAAGGCCTTGGTGACTACGCAGCACTAATCCACTGGAATGTAAATAGATACATGAGGCCCCTTTTCCCTCTATTATAGATTCGAGAAGCACGATCTATTGGGCGACAATCATCATGAATTCCCCGAAAGCTTCCCTGTCGAAGGGGGATACCTCCTCGGCGTACGGCTCGCCCACATTCAATTTAAACATGTCGATCAAAGTTGATGCGCCGGTTGGCTCTATGTGGGTTCTTGCTAATTTTCACTCATTTGTTTGGGAAAGCGCAAGTACATTAGTGACTGGTCTAATATGTGTGAACAGGTCCATATCACCGAGTAGCCGAGACGTCGTCTTAGCTTCGTAAGTTGCATTTTGAGCCCCAGACTCTCAATACCCCAGACTCTGGAAATTGACCTCCCCATAGTCAATTAGGGCTCCACATCGTAGACCTCGATAATCCCTACGACCCCCCTCGTTTTCTTCCACACTTAACAGCTTGGTCTGTCGCAGACGTTCAATGGTCTCCACATGCATCTCATTCGCATTGGGTAGTTTCGACCTCGAACCAAAAGGCCATAGTTTGGAACCTCGCCCTTCCATCCCGCAAGGCTATTGAATTAGTCTTACACTCCCACACTCGCGCAATCACGGACATTAATTTCTCTGCGCACCAGCCGAACGTTCTTGCAACATGCTCCATCGACTCTTTCGTGCACTGTTGGGACCTCCGGACTCCCCGTAGACCCGTCATGAGCTTTTGTGATTGGTTCGCCGGTGCAACGCAAGTCAAATATAATAGACAAAACGAACACATTCTCGCCAGCTCGCACGACCGGTATTTATACATATGGGATGACCGCATGGGTATGCGTGCGGTTCGCAAAATCAGCGCTCACTCAACAAAGATTTACGGGGTGGATTGGAATAGGACTCGACCATCGGGGATTGTGACATGTGCACTCGATCGAACCGTCAAGTTCTGGGATTATGATCAGTGTCCAGACGACACACCTGAACGCATCATCCATACTTCTTTTCCAGTGTGGCGAGCCCGGCATACCCCGTTCGGGAGAGGGCTATTGACCATGCCCCAGCGTGACGATACATCCCTGTATCTTTGGGACCGTAGGGCAAAGACAGATGAACCAGCTACGCCCGTACATAAGTTCTCAGATCACACAGACTATGTCAAAGAATTTCTTTGGAGATGGAGAGGGGGTGAACGGGACGACACGGGCGACGACAGAGAGTTTCAGTTGGTGACCTGGTCACTCGACAAGGACATCCGACTTTGGACCATTGATCAAGAGATAACTGAGAAGATTGGCCATGACCCAAAGAAGAAGATGAGATTCAGGGTCACTCGTCGGGGAGCAGAATACAAGACCTTTCGTGATGAAGCTGCGATTGTTAAGGTCGTTGGTGGAAAAAAAGGGTCGGCACCAATTCCAATGGGAATGAGACATCTTCCCAGATTAAGCATAGGCGGAATGGATATCGAGAAGGAGGCGTTAAAAGGCGGTTGGAGAGATAGTTTGTTCCCAGGTCAGAATCAAGGAATCCGGAGTGGACTTGTTAGCCCACAATCTGGAGGATCATTGGGGAAACAACTAAGTATGGGGAGCTTGAGTGGCGATAGTCTTGGGTTGACTAGGGGAAACATGAAACAAGGAGGCTTCATGAGAGCTGGAAAAAGAAGAAGGAAAGAGGTCAATCCTATAACCTGGATGCGAGGGGTCAAAATCGCCAGAAAAATCCCAGTGAACGGTAGCGAAAGCGATGGGATTAGGAGTAGTACTGGCCGGAGTGGATTGTTTGGAATTGGTTGGGAAATCCCAGAAACCCTAGGCGATGAGATATCCCTTGTTGGAAGCAAATTTCCCAAAATCAATTTCGAGAAAGTCAATATTGCCGCAAGGTCCTGTACCGTCTCTTTGACAGGGCCTTGGGGTGCAGATAATAAATGGGTTTTCCTCAGAGCGGATATTTCATTTCCCCATGAGTATCCTGGGGATGGGTCTAGTTTACCGAGTTTTATTCTGGAAAAAACTAACATGATTCCAGAAAAGACTTTTGATGAAATATGCATGCAATTGAAGAGGATCTCACAGGCTCATGTAGGAAAGAAGAGAGTCTGCCTGGAGCCGTGTTTGTGCTACCTACTCGGCGAGAGAGCGGAGGACGCTGCGTGGGTGGGTGATAGCGACGATGCTGGTGAAAGCAGCAGTGATGACGGTGAAGGAATTGCCACACTTGGTGCTAGGGATGGCGAAGAAGAAGAAAACGTTGGCGTGGTCAATACCAACAACCAAGCCAACGTACCATTACCAAAAGTCTGCGGAGCCACCTGGGCGAATGATGGAAGATTGATATGTTTTTTCCCACCAAAGGAGGAGAGATTTGGCACGAGAAGCCTTCTGAGCTCGCTCGCTGTCAGAGATGACGAAAGATCGATAAGATACGGAAGTAGCGGGAGACCGTGGGAGACATTTGGAAGGCTGTATACTGCATCCCCTATCGGAAGGAGGGCAACTATGGCGAGTGAGGCGGGTGAAGATACAACAGATAGTACGTACAGCACTACCAGCAGTTCATCAAGCGATGACGACAGCGATTCAATTGCGGATGGCCCATTGAGACCAAGCCTTGGATGGAGGCTACACCGAAACATTGAAAGGCGTTTCAGAGGAGGTAGCACAGATAGGAGTACGCAAAGAAGTACTGGGACAGGGGCCAAAACGATAACAGGAAATTTTGCGAAACCGAAAAATATAGTATCCATACACCACATGCAAACTTGGCTGCCGGCAAAGAAAGAGCTTGCTCAGGACTATCAAGTTTACGGGGATAGTGCCGAAGTATGCCAATTCAACGCCGGAGTTGCTGAAAAACATGGAAACAGCGAACTTGCAGACGTTTGGAGGTTGGTTGAAATGGTTCTTCGTAATGAAGTCCCACTGGAGGTATATCAGCACCCTGGACTCAGCTCGGGGACAGGTGTCTATGAAGACAGGATATTAGTTGTAGCCAAGCGGGCAAGTCTTGTTAGAGGAAGACGTGATAGCGGACTTGGACTAGATATGAGTGATGATGAGGCAGACGATTTGATAGAATCAGAGTTTTGGGGAAGGGTAAAGTGGGGAAGCCACCCACTAGGTGGAAGATGGCTGGTAGAGGAGCTTTTTGCATATTTCGAGAAGATGGCGGATGTTCAAATGCTAGCCATGTTAAGCTGTGCGTTCTGTGAAACAGAGGAACCGTCGGGTTCTGATGACGGTGGACTGAGAGCACCATTTGATGTATGTTCTTCCTCTATTTTCTTCATTATTCTATTGCCTGTTTTCAAGCTACTGATTTATTGCTTTTTGTTTTGACTTGACAGGAACTCTCCTTGTCTACAAGAACCTCAGCTTACGCTCGGGACTATTTCCCAAGCATTGAAATGGCGCTTATGGCACACTCCTCAAACAACTCTATTTCTCCAAACTACGCCTCCGCAACTCTGACGCCAATTGGTACACATGGATCGTACTCATCGACCGGCACTGTCCATTTTGGAAGCGATCCCGCATACCCATATTCAACAGGAACTACCCCACCTCTTCAGGGGTTCAGACTAGGCACCGGTGATGATGCCTTCCACAGTCTTTCATCGTCCCCGGAACTACATCACCACTCCAGAAAATCCAACTCTGGTATGGCAGCAAACCTACGCATGGCGTTCGGCTCAGGGCATTCTGGCAGTCCTCCTGGAACGAGAAGAAAGATGCCTAGTCCTGCAGAAAGTATGCTAGGTCCACCTACAGCAATATCTGGTGTAACATGGGGCCCCATTACGACTTTTGGGAGTGGCTCTAAGGAAGATGTTAATTCAGACCTCACCGAGACATCATCAGATTTTGGAGAACCATCCCCAATCCGAATTACAATGATGAACCAAGACAAATTTGACGATGAGGGTAATGTTCATGTGCCTTTCTTGGACCCCCAAAAGTTTCGTCTCTACCAGTCATACCGCGAAAATTATGCCGACCTTCTGTTCAACTGGGGTCTCCAAACCCCACGCCTAGAAGTACTCAAGTATAATGGCTTGAAGAATGCTGCCTTCGAAGCTCTCGAAGAAGAACCAGTTGGATTCTCCCGCAAACCGACTAAAGTAACAGAACCCAGTGGTCAATATTTCAAAGGGTTGGAACTTGGTGGACATTGTTTCAAATGCGGTGCAATGCTCATATCAACGAAAGGCGCAAGAGGCGAATGTAAACCATGCAAGCGACGGCAGGTGACGATGAATTGTTGTGTTTGTGATGTCATCATCAAAGGACTCTATGTACCATGTCTGCAGTGTGGGCATGTTGGACACGCGGACTGTCAGGAGGCGTGGTTCTCAGAAGATGGAGTAGTTGAATGTCCTACAGGATGCGGGTGCCAATGCGCAAGCTTTGTGGAGGGCGGGTTTAGATTCACAAATCTTCCTACCGTAAAGCCATTAAGAGAGGACAGGGTACACGTGAGGAGAGATATTAGATATGACAATGACTATTATGATAGTTATACATTTTGATTTGGTACGATGGGGTTTGGTGGGAATTTAAAAGTACTACATCTCTTTTTAACTGCATATACCATATCGGCCATGGATAGGAGGAGGATAAGGTGAGCCTCTTGTTTAAGGGGCTTATACAGCGTCTCATAATCTTCTTGGCATGCTTTTGATACTCAAGTTGATTATTATTATGTTTTTATATCCTGTTTTATTTTTTTTCTCATGTATAAATAATATGAGCAGAAACTTTTCTTTTAGGTATTTTTCATGGGATGGCAGGACAGGGGAGCAATGTATCTTGGGGTCTATTTGTCGGTGAGATATTGAACACATTTTACGATAGTCAATGATATAATTTCACAAAAGTGTGCCCAGCATCACTAATCAATTACCCTTTTCCCAAACCATTAGATGACCATAAAAGTTTTCAGTTGCCTGAAAGAGTATCTATTGCTTTATGTGTATCACTTACTAGTACACTACTACCGAATGAAGAGTATTGCCTGGCCTAAATCCCCTTTGGCATCTCAGCCAGGCTCCAGCCCCTTGGGACGACAAAAATACCCTCGGCCTCCATAAGGATATTGCCAAACTCATCTTCGATTGTCGCCTTCGCCACTCCTTTGCGATCGGTATGCTTTTAAAAGGAGCATTGGGTAAGGTTGTGTTACTTTAGTTTAAATATCAGAGGGGAAAACCATACCTCGATAACCCAGGTTCGCAAGATTACGAAACCGCTAGACTTGGGGTATAGATGTGCGTGCACTGGTCGTCTATAATTGATCGATAGCCGTGCGGTCACGGCATTCCGGGTTGGTAGCACATGCATTGCCTATACAAATTGGTTTGAATTATTACCCCCGCAGAGATTTACATCTAGGGGCCACCGAAAGACTTACAGTTCTTCCAAGTGCTTCATCTACTATCTTGCTTGTGAATAACATTGGTCAATTCCGTGTTCAAACCGCCCCCAGAAGAAGAGATGCTAGGTACCGTAGCCAAAACACCGCCATGCTACAAGCACATCCAGAGAGAAAAATTAACCTTGAACTTCCATTCCTTATTTCAAGCCCAAATTCGGGGGAGCTCATACAACAACGCCCGGGAATCCGCAAATTCCCCTGCCGAGACTCAGCACGCCAACGGTGCTTCCATCTCTTTTAACCCAAACTTTATTGTATCCTATCTTCTCAGCACCTTGCAACACCCCGGGGGTATATCTATGCTGCCGCTCCTCCTCAGGGATTCCTGTCCACGGTCTATGCTCCTTGTACTCTGGATCTGCCCGTAGAGCTTTAACAATCGGTAACTTAGAAGCTGATGCTTCAAGCTCCTCGATCGTTTTCTTTTCTTCTGGGGAGCCACGGATTGGTAAAGGATCCTTTAACAATGGTCCAGAGATCGGTAGAAAGTAATTTGTTAAAACCACGCCCGCCGTGCCCCAGAGGAGGACATGCGCAACTGTTGCAAACGTGAGTCGGAGAGCAAAAAATGGCTTTCGGTCTTTCGGGGCAGCTGTTGAAAACCTGCGCAAAGGTACCTGGTGGGCACGGAGCCGAGCGGATAAGCGGAGGCCACAAACGTTCATTTTCGAAACTACAGACAAAGACTGGAGTGGAAGAGCTGGTGTTGTGGCTGTCAAACCGAGGCTGTTGCTGTGCACCGGAACCTGCATAAATTTCAGGGCACCCCGACAAGGGTACCCGAGATCTGGGAAGAAAAGGCGCCGCCGAGAAACCCCACACTTTAGTTTGAATTTCAATACTCTGCCACTTTTCTTTTTTTGTCATGAATAACAAAATAGTCAACCAACACTTCAAAGCAGCCGGAAAAAGCATTTGGGGTACGATGCTGAAAATTCTGAGCCTTGTATGTAATGTAAATTCTTGCGCAGGAGCAAATGTACATGTAGGTAACATCCGAACAAATTGTCTGTTTAATCGATTGTTTCAGTATATGCAGCGTGGGGTTACGCTCTGTGATCGTAAATAAGGGCTGAAGTAAAGTGCACATGCAGTATGAGTGTCATGCTGGTATTGATGCCAATGCTTAATGACCACCCGGTATTCTCTCTCTCTACCCCTCCCCCCTCTTTTGATGGGGAATAGAGGCTTTCAGTTGATCCCTGTTATCCATTTCCAAAGTGAAAAGGAAACTCCTGCAGCCAAGAGTCTGTCCTGAGCGCGTTAAACTATTGATAAAAAGGGCATCCTGCAGGTGCAGACCGAGAAATACTTGAGGACGGAATATTTAGTATTGAGTATTTACCAGAAAGTGACATGTTAGCTGTAGAAGCAGACGTAACTTTAGCTGCATGAGTTTCCCTTTCACTTTGAAAATGAAAATTCAGGTCAACTAAAAGCCTCTAATGGGAGAGGTGAAAATCTAATGACGGTGGTTAGTGTTTCCTGTAATTAAGTTAAGATTAACGCATACGTCTCCCACACAAACGGCATTTAAATTTGTAGGCTGTACCTACGTATTCATTAGCACTGTAGAACACTTAATTACCATTCGAATCCGAACACTGGGGCATGTCTAACCGTAAAACGTGTAAGGGGTATGCTACATTTTCTAATCGAGAAGATCTATCTGCACCATGTCATATATGAGCTTCTATGCTTTGATAGCTGTTTACAGTTATATCATCGCTTTGTAATATTCTGTTTATAGCCAATTGAAGATAACTACATTAAGTAAAATGAAAATAAAAGCTATTCTCTAACTGAAATAAAAACGGATGAAAGCATTATAAAAACCCAACTACATATTCCTTCCCCAATAAATGTCCCAAACCCCATGATTGGCTGATTAGCCATCTAAACCCTGAGCTTCTCCTTGGGGATCATCCAAATCACTAGGCTGATGAATCTCTCGCCGTTGACCGTTACCGATAGGCCCGTGATAGGGATACATTATATGAGCATTCTGTATATTATGTATTGTGGTAACAGGGCTATATAACATCATCTGCGCCGCACTGTCTCCCTCGGATGTAGTAGGATGTAGCGCCGGAATCTGAATATTTGTGGAAGGGCCCGGGAGACCAATATTTGATTCCGTTACTCCTGCAGCAGCAGCAGAACTATCTCTATTCTAGTGATTCCAGTAGAATCAATTGGTTAGCTAAGTAAAGGGAATAGATCTTTTATCACACTGCGAATTATATTTTTCAAGGAACTTACAGTATTATTTCGTCTCTCCCAACACTTCCACCCCTGGAAGAGAGCCAGAATGCCAGCAATTGCTGTTATTACTGCAACAACAATACCAGCAATACCTAAGGCATCCACTAGCTTTGATCCTGAATTGTAACTGCTCGGGGATCCAGAGCTGAGATCTCGTGTGACGGACATCTGGGCGTGTTTTATTGTGATTTCGACTAACAAAGCGGATTCGGATGTTGATATATATATATATGCAAGAGATGATTTCCGTGTTTATGGATATGAGTGTAAGATTTGAAAGGAAACTAGTTTCTCTAAGCGGATTTGAAGCTACATGTATTATCTTGTCCCAGGAAAAAGAAAATAAAAGGGTTAGGAAGACATCGTTACCACTCCGAGAGTTCATCACAGAAGTACGTGGGGGAGTCTAGTTGAAGCCCTAGGTATAATCGGGAGCACCCGGTCAGGCTATTTTCGATGTATATTCCCTCTCGCCCTCGCTTTCACCCCCACGGCGTCGAATTTCTTCTTCTCAACGGTGCTAAAAAGGGTTTTTTTTATTTTTATTTTTTTTATTTCCAATGCATACCTCACAGCGCCCGCGGAGCAAATATGTCCATTGGTAGCTTATGCACTTTTGACGCACGCAAGGCGCTTCTTATGTCGTTCGTCTCTTGATCAATGGAACATGTCGCCATATTGAGCTTCTCCTGGAGCCTGGGCAGCACCTTGAACCCCCCAACGCCTTGTGCGATTAAGCTACAGTAGCCCAACAAGTTACTGATATACGTCAGACCACCTTTTATTTCTTTTTCCAATTAAGTATGCTGACTGGATTCGTTGAAAGATGATGATATTAGTGGAGGGGAAAACCTAGGTACCCGGTTTCATCGATCACTCCCCCACGCACACATACACATACATATACACATGTTCACTGCCGAATTAAAGTCGTTGATGCATATTCCTGCAATGATGTACAGAATGGCTGTTTCCACATAGACCCACGCGGGATACGACAAGGCTGTGAATAACACCGTTCTCCACAAAATCATCGCGAGATTAGTGCTGGCGGCTGACTATGACGATGACAAGATAGTTATTCGGGTGGGTGTGTATACGTATGAAGCCTAAGTTGGTAGTAAATAAAGGATTTCCCAGGCCGTACCTCGTGGGGCGAATAACAATTAATAGTACAACGGATTAATTAACTAAACGTACATTAGCTCCTATTTAGATTCCAACTGGTCCTGCCACTGTTCTGCGCAAGTTGCATAATTATATACGTATCTGGGGTAGCACATGGGTGTGAATAGGGCCACATGATTTATAAACTATCTGTATCCATTGTATTCTCTCAGTACTTGATACTTGTAAAGGGGAAAATTGTACCCCCAATGAAACACAGAGGATGACCGGCCTCAACTTACCCCACGCGTATGAATTCCCATTGATTTGTAATATTGCACTTCATGAACGGGGAGACTCGTTTAGGGATGAGGTTGGCTGGTACATGGTGAGGATCATCCGCGTCTTTGAAATGCCCCCGAAGCCCCTGTTCTCTTGGCAAGGAACCTATGGGTATGTTTGGATCATATGCCGTCACTCGCGCCTTGAAACAAAGTATTGTGGAGCTCATACTAGCTTGATATGGATCAAACCCACCATGTGAAGTTGAAATAAAGTTTAAGACATGTGATTTGCGTGTATGATTACACGTGGGATCGAGTTTAGCCGGGTTATTCTTATGATGTGGTAGCGGAGGAGCTCCGATTAATTCCTAGGCTGGTTACCAACACGCCTCAACCAGAGTGATGGGATCCCACCAACATTATCCACGCGACAATCTAATCTAGATTCTAGATCAACTCAGCAGTGGATGATTCCTAGTTCTACTTCGCTGAAAGACGTTCTGGGTGCCGTAGCCACAAAGTTCGCATGGGTGCTGGGCACTATACCTTAATGCTGAGTCCTTATCAATCGATATCGATGTAATCAAAATCTAGACTAGGAGATGTTCTGGGAGTTTAAATAATCAATGCAATCTCGTAAAGGCGGGTTTCTCAGGCGCACCACACCACTTATTCTAACTGCACCCACGAGCAAAACACGCTAATCTCGACAATTAAGAATTGTGATTTTTCTTGGCCGGCTTATACGGTCTAGCAACTGAGCTAAATTAAATTAAGGGCGAATGCCCCGAATGTCGGAGACAGAGGGGGTCGCGGGTAGAATGGTACAAAGTTGCCTATAAGTTTAGCTGGCAACCATTCAGCGAGCCTTGGAGCTTTGTCCGGTATATATGTCATAGTCGCTGGTAGTCAGTCCTTGGCATATATCTGGGTATAAGAGCGCTCTACGTCTGCACTCAGCCTGAAGCTACATTCCCACATTATGGACCAAAGATGTACCTGGCTACATATACGCATAATATATGCATATGGTGAAGCGATACCCTGGAAACTTGAGAGATTGGGTGAGCGGTAACTTACATTAGGTCCACTGTTTAGATGTTATGTATATATCCAAAGAAGAGTAGGATCATTCGGGGCCGAGTCAGCCTGCTGGCAACCAGTGGCAAATCAGTTACGGAACTGATGGTACTGAAAGGGGTAAGAACGGGAGAACAGAAAAGCATGGGCCATTACCGGGCTACAAAAACAACTACATGTCTAAATAGAATAGTCAGGTATCTCTGTCATCACAAGAGCTTTCAATTGGATGGTTAGCTGCCTTCAATTTCTGTGGTCTGGCGGGTTACAGCTGTCAATTGACAAAGAATGGGGTGCTTTAAGGGAGATGACATGCACGTTTTCAAACCTTCATTCAGATGGCAAACCCTAAGCACTACCGTCATGATATATAGTAGTCTTCTGTCCAAGATCAATATCGGTTCTGTTCTTCCAAAATTACAACCTCACGCGAGCAAGGAGGGGCCCAGCCTGCCGCGCAGCGGCAGGTGACCCCGACTGCATGCGAGGAATCGATGTTTATTTCACATCATTACACCAAACTTTGTGAGTTTTCTGGATTTCTATACACTTTGCTTTAGTTATCGGCGGTTTCTCGAACTGATGATCAATTCCATATGCGGCCGGAGGCCGCTCCTCACTAGTACTATATATAACGCGTTGATAACATTCCAATTTGTACACACATTGTAAAATCAGCGTTATTTGGGCCTACCCACTCCAGAATACCACAATTAATTCCATACAGAGAAGACAATACTTTATATCTCGAATTCTAGAAATGCAATTACCTGTTTAATTATGTATGTATCTTGGTGGTTGTGGAGTTATAGACTTGTTAAGAATCTGCGTAGCAACCACAGAAAATCGCCCAACTTTGAGAGTTTATAACTTCACAATCATCTAAGATCTTAAAAAGATGATTAGATTTCCGGAATTCTCAAGCTCTCACGTAAATAGTTATCGTCGACCTCTCGTTGCGGCTTTAAGTGTTATTTTTAGAGTTGGTATATCGATTGTACTTATACACTCAGAGCCTAGAGGAAATTGCATCATGAGTGATCACTCAGCACTTGAGCAACAATATGGGCTTCATCATGATCATTCGCTCCGCCCTATGGCAATACCAATAATATATAAAATTACAAATACATAAGTAGTTCTAGATGTTCTATCCTTCCCTACCAGGCTCTATCCCTTCGTCTCCCCCATCACCAAGCCGATCGCCCCTTACCTCACCTCTATTCTTTTTCCCACCTCCACCTCCGCCTCCACCACCACCGGCACCACCACCACCACCCTTCCATGGCCACCTTTACTACCCCTACTATCTTTACCGCCTCTAACGCCTCTATCACCACTTGCTCCGGCATAATCAATCCTAATTAAAGGATTCTGTACACTAATTTTCCCATCCTTACTAAAATCCACGACTTTATCCCTTTCAGACATAGTCAGCCTCGAAGATTGAAAAATACCGTTAATGTTTTGAATTCCCCGCAACTCGTGGACCCAATTTTTGATGTAGTCTCCACTGGGGTCGTAGTCATGCGCTTGCTTGACCTGGTTGAATACGCGGCTTTCTCCTCTTGGGTCATTTCCAACGCCAGCAGTATATCTAAGTAGAATCCATTAGTTATGGGCTATCAGGTCAGGATTTTCGAGTTAAGGAAAAAGAAGGAAGAAACAATGGAGGTGGCAAGATAAAACTTACTGCCAGTTCCCCCAATTACTGCTGGTATCATAATCCACCAGCATACACTCATACCACTCTGCCCCTAATCTCCAGTCCATTTTCATTCTCTTAGCCAAATAACTCGCTACATTCTGTCTAGCCCGGTTACTTGTCCACCCTGTAAGGTATAGTTCCCTCATGCTCGCATCGACTAAACCCATACCGGTATTTCCTCTCTGCCATCGCCCAAAATCCTCTTTTGCAGCAGGATCTGATAACGTCTTCCAGTAGTAACTTGTGTCACCCCGATACCCGGCCTGAGAGAAGATTTTGGGTCCAAATTTAAGCATACAGAGACGGAAATAATCTCGCCACAGTAATTCGAAGCGAATGGATGCAGTTCCTTTATTTTCTCCCTTTCCATATCCTTGGGGATGTGGTTCGTTTTCACTCTTGCCATTCGGCAGCGATAGTATGGGTTTCCAAGGGCGTCCCTCTTCGAATTCAAACATAGCTTTATTAATTGTCCTTGAGGAAATACAGCCTTGTGCAAGCCATGCAGCAAACTTGCACGAGAAATCTTCGCCTAGTAAACCGTTACGGGTGTCTTTATATGTTGTCATCGCTCCAGTTGCTAGCATATGGTCAATTCGTTTCAAACCAGATGTTTCGCCGCCTTTGAAGGGATGTGCTGTTTTTGCACCGGGTGGTGTCTGCAATGGTGAGCCAGGAAGATCGAGGTTCTGAAGCGGTTTAAGAAGTGAAGAAATAAGACCACCAAGAGAGTCAGGGATTGCGAAGGGCGGCTTTTGGGCTGAGATATAATGTGGAATTGGAGCGATTGAAATTGGCTGAGGGTGTGGGTCTCGAACATTATCGCGGAGAGGTTCGACGGTCTTTCGAAACTGTGTAAAAACATCTGAAACCTCGTTGGGCTTCATAGGAAGATTCTCTCTATTGTTTATATAATCAGCGCTCATTCACCCAACTCATATATCACCAGATCGAACCCAATCAACTTTAGCCCACTATGAATATAAAGGGAAAGAGGTACCGGTCAATAAGATAACTCCCATCCTCAAAGACTCTGAATTCAATTGTACCCTTCCCAATCTTCTCCACGAGCTTTCTGATCCCGTTTTCTTCGCTCATCTCCTCGCTACCATGATCTCTCGTCATCCAGACACTCACAATCTTTCCTGCCTCTGCGCTTTCCTTGCCATCTATATCCTCCATTAGTCCACCTACAACCTCGCCGCCCCATCCAACCCTAATCACGAGACCACTCCCAAGTTTCTCCAAGCTCTCTTTTAAATCCCACACGCACTCTGCAACGAATTTTGCTCTATGAGGCCCACATCTCCAAAATCCGGCTACGCGACTACGGGCTTCGACGTATGGTGATTTTGTATCTGGTAATAGAAATCCAGACGTTTCAATTTGCTGTGGATTAAAAATGTAAACTGGAAGGACATGTGTGTGATCTTTTATTTTAGAGAGAGCATGGAAAAGAGGATTATCCACAAGTCTAAGATCACGTCGAAGAAGAAGCAAACGAGTTCGAGGTGCCCCGGTCATTGTTGTCTTTCCAGAAGAAACGACTTTGTTCTAATAAAACGGGGAAATGAGATGGCCTCGGTAGATGGGACTAGTCTATTGGTGTAGCTGTGCCAGATATCTATGACGCCATGACAAACCACTTCAGGAACGCCACCGGTGCTCAATTGCTGTACCCATTATTAGACAAACCGCCAAGGTCTCATGTTGACCCTATCATAGACCATCACTCGTTTTATAGCATGCATTGTGAAACACCTAGTGTATGTTTGGGGTGATCTGGAAAACTTGCTTGGCCTACGAGTGTCGTTATCAAAACCCACAGCAACAATGGGGGTCTCGGGGTGGTGCTCGTGGGCTGAAAATTTGATTCTAAAGTCTTTTCAAAATCATATTCCCGAATAGTAAAAAAAACTAAACTTCCTGGCCTTGGGATAATTAAGATTTGAAAATACTATGAACCTGCGAGCAAAGTATTCCCGGACTGATCGCCACCCATTTATTGAAAGTGTCCCTTTTAACATTAAGCAGGCATGTATTCTAAAGTTATTGTTACAATGGAGAAATAAAATAAAAAGGGATATAATACGCGGTATTCGTCACGAATAACAGTAACCCTCCAACAATACTTTACTTTTAAAAGAGAAAGAAGCGCCTGCCCCCATCCACCTGCCCAGACAAAGAAAGAAAATAAAGTCCCATTTAATTAGCCATAAACCCTGCCCATACCCATTCCCTACTAGGCATATATATGCCTTATTTGATGATCACACTCACCGGGCGCTCTCATCTAAGAAAGAAAAATGTAACAAAAAACAAAAACAAAAACCAAGTTAAGACATCACAGGTATACTCAACCCCTAGGAAAACATAGGAGATTCCTGACGGATGTGCAAACATGAATATATAGATTCAAACAAGTCCGGCTGTTGCATATGTCGGTTTCATTTTCCAACGACATGATTAATGAAAGTAGCCTCCACTCGGTAAAGCAACGAAAATCCCGGCGATGATTGCCGAGACTATTGCAGCAATAATAATACTTTGGACAAAAATGGCATCTTGGATCTGTTTAAGGGCAGGTTCCTCGATCCAAACTTCTTTGTCAAAAATCTTTTGGATGATATTGCGGTTGGCATATCGAGCAACCCAGGGCTCGTCTTCGTAGCTATTGCTGCTGTTCTTGCTATCGAATGAGGATTTGGATTCAACATTCATTTCGAGGGCATTTTCGTCGCTCCATAGTTCCCAAGGATGAACATGACGATGATGAAGGCCATGAAGTACCTGAGAAAGGAAATCATAGTTAGCTTATGAATCGGATTCATAATGAGTCGGCACCAAGAACTTACCACACACATCCCCTTTGTAGCCGCAAACAGTGTAGAAATCCCAATTAGCCATGCTATTGCCGCAAACGCCCTGTATCCCCTTGGCCTATTGCTAAGGGTCAACAGAATAGCGACTATAAATCCAGCTGCGATCACTACTGTTCCCAACCACAATGCAAACACAACTCTGCATTCGTTTCCATTTCTAACACTCCATCTGATGAAATTTGGATGAGCCTGGTGACGGAGTGTGCTTTCGACGGCTTTCTTGAGAGGATCAAGGGCCGAAGGATGTGTTGTCTGAGCCAATGCACGCAGGGCTACAACACGATCACGGGCCGAGACGTTAAGTTCCCGAGGGGAACCCTCGGCAACATAAATGGCAATCATACGAGTGATTTCTTCACGGAATGGTTGTATTGTGACTGTATGTAGTTAGTAAGGGGTGGGTGAATTAAGGGCCAAAAAGTAACCAAGAAGTAAAAGTATATTTAGGGACTAAGACAATGAGACAAAGAACTCACAAGGTTGCCACTTTAAATCCACAGCCTGAAATGCGTCCGCAGTAACCGCTGCATGGTCGATGCCCGTAATACTCCCCGAATCCGTCCCAGAACCCCAAAGGTTATTTGAAGAACCCTGACTGCCAGGCGGTGTGGTGAATGGATTACCCTTTGTTTGGGGTGGCACTTTTAGATGTGCATTTGGAATTAAAAATGCATCAGCAAAAAACTTCGTTGCAAGTCTAGTGGGCCTGTTGGCAGAGTTGGTGTTGTTCGTATTGAACCCATTTACGTCCGAAAATTGGGAGTATGGGGCTATCTCTGGAGAAAGAGCCTTCTCGTTATCGGGAAGCGCCTCGAAACGTGCGGAATAGTCGCGAAGCCAAAGATAAAATTGAAGATTCTCGGCAGAGTGTTCGACATATGTAAGATATCTCATGAAATCACGACATGTCATAGGCTATGAATTTCAAGAACATGTTAGCCCTCTTTGATACTATATGCACGGCCTCATTTCTGACTACACAGGGTGGCAAGTTGAAGCATCGAAAAGCTCAGTAGGTACATGTATATATATCATAATCCAGGTGCATGCATATTTCACAGGAAAGATACCCGGGGGGGGGGGGGGGGTTGTTAGGGTAGCTACATTCGATTTCACTGCTTCATACTCAAACAATATAGATGAATGCACATACCGGACATGTTCCTCCAGCGATAATTTTGTCAAATGACAGAGAATCAGGAATACTATTGAACTTTGGTAAAGGTGAGGTCGAACGAGATGAAATTGGAGTCAATTCGTCCATGTTTTTGGTTGACAATTTTGTTGTCGCTGGAAGACTTCCGACATGTGATGGTCGAGAGTAGAAAAGTAATTTATCTATGTTCTAGTCCTCGGGACTTTATACTGTGTGTGGCGGACAAGTGGGTATTGGAAGACGAGAATCCGAGTTCCTGGGTTGAAGGCTAGCTGTCAATTAAGCTAGCAACAAAAGAATTAGACCCAAGACCCCACCAGTGACGGTTGTGGCTTTCCCCCTTGTACCGGTACTGGTAGGTGTTGATTTTTTCAAAAGATTCACTGTGACTCCTCATGGAATCGACGCGGAACTCAGCATCCTTTAAACTACTACTAAGTCCTCGCTTGGCCGGTGCTGCAAGTAACAGAAATAGTTTCTTCTTCGCCTTCTTACGTTGCCCTTACTCTACAACAGTGTGGGGGCTCAAGACTCAAGATTGACCATGCGCAACGAGTAGCACGCTGGGGGGGGGGGGGGGGGGGGGGGGGGGGGGAGGGGAGGATCCAGTATAATGTAGCATAGACGGCTTCCCGTCCCTACAACCCATATGTCATGAACAGAAAAGGGTTAGACTAGCATGTTCATTTCGTTTCTTCAGGCTTCACTGGGATCGAGAAGCACCAAACGACTCCTTGCAAGATCCACTGGATTGTATTAGGCCCTTGTTATCTGCCGCCCTTACCCGGAACAGTTATATCAAAACGGGCTGGTTTATGAGGCCTAGACCATTATGCTTTCCATGATGTATCACCCTGGACACCACCATCGCAGTACATGTATGCAATCATTTAATCGTGGACTGGGGAAACAACTTCACATGTTGATCTTATGCCGCTGTATGTACGAAAAGAACCAGAAAATGCAAGTGACGGAAACAGGGATAGTTTGTATGAGAGATCACCGCCACTCCATACAAATAATCCTTGCCCTGAGCAACTGCATTTTCTGGTTCTTTTCGTGGTAAACAAGTACATGCAATTGCATTACTGTGCACACAAAACTGTGCATCTTTACTGTTTTACTTTTCGCTGATATCAAGGCGTTAAAGAAGGCGCCGTTCTCGTTTTCTGTCAGACACCCACTCTAATGATACTAACGTGCGCCTCAGACCTTTAGTCGCATACATGTATGGCTCGAGAAGCTATGGTGGGTAGGTGTGTAAACTTCGGCGTTTGCAGCCAATCAATCTATAGGAATTGGGAGATCTACCCCCATAATGGTACTAGCGCCTAGTCTGACGGTGGAATTTTCTCTAATTCCCATACAAAAAAAGTTCCTCTGATGTTGACACACCCACCCTCTATGCCTTCTCGCGCCATATGTGTGTGTATGTACTAGTATTTCTCTGACGTTTTTGAACTGGGCCATTATTGCATACACCCAAAATCATGAGCTTGGCGTATTTTTGTATGGCATGCAATATCAGTCGCGTCCACAAACGTCAGAGAAATACGAGTACCTCCAGTACCTGCTCTACTCATGTGGGTTTAAGGTACACCCGGTTGAATTAGGCCACCGTATTGAACAATCGATATATGCCTAAGGACAAAACGCTTGAAAACGACCTTTAAGTATATAAGCACAGACTCTCTATATCCAAAGAGTGCACGACTTAGACTAGTAGTACGTGTAGGTACTACATACCTGTAAATATCCCAGCGGCAACAGATCCGAGCCATTCGGCGACGTCTGTGACTCTGTGTACCGAAATACTCTAAATCTTGGCCAGGAAAGAAATCTATCGCTTAAGTACAATGCAGGATGATCCCCGCTCCTCACCGAGATCGGAGTATTTTGGTTGGCTCTGGATTCTGGGGGGTTAGATCCATATTAACTCTCTAGTAGATTAAACCAGATCTGGCTAGCGAAAGGCTGGTAAAGGACTTGGAGTGCATCATCATGCAGCCTCATCTCTGTGGTCCCTGAGTTACCTCACGATTCAGGCTGAAATTAACAAATTTCTCAGCTTAGCCCTTAGAGATTTCATCAACACAAGCATCTGTCAAGCAGGCAAGAACTGGAAAGGAGAGGCGGAAATTAACTAGGACCTGATGTCAAAAGGCGAACCTCGGCTAATCATGTAGTTTGTGTTGAGATTAATCACACCCATTTTCCCGTAGAAGTGGTTGTCGTACGCATCTCTCGTATCTCTGCGATGCTCCCGGCGACGGCCGCGGCTCGGTGTTAAGTTTGATCGTATTCCGTTTATCGTGTGCCTACTGCCCACGATCAAGGGGCCATATTAATGGCGGCTGCCCCGGGAAAACTAGAAGGTAGGCCGCCCTCTGCCGATCTGGGGAAGGGGTTGCGAGAAGAAAAGCTAGAGTACCTATACCGCATTAATTCGTTCGAACGGCCGGTCACACAAGACGTCGAAGTTGCCTTTTCAAGCTAATATGAGGGAAGATTAGGGGGCGTATTCAAGAAAAATAACCAAATACGGGAATTTCAACGTCTTGTGTGACCGGCCGTTCGAACGAATTAATGCAGTAGTGTAGCCCTAAATTTAACAGGATCTAGGATCAAATATTCACAACCTTTGTTTTCTCCTACATACATGTCCATAGCCAAGGGAGGGACGAATCCACAACATGGCACAACAATTCTGCCTAGATGCGCCTAGCCCTATGATTGCCAATGACGGGCGAGGTGGCTACAACATTGAAAACTTTACTTTCTACGCGTCTTCCGTGAACGGAGACGCACAAGAATGCGCTGCATGGTGAAACCCTCAACTAGGATGCCGAGATTTTTGTGTTCAGGTCCTTCAGAAGTGAGAAGTGCATAAATTCCCCGGAAATGAGACTCGGATCGCGTCACTTGAGATCGAGGTCATTCGCTCGGATGTGTGATCCACAACTGACAGGTTGGCCCATCCTAGACTCTATTGACACAGTGAAGCTTCTACCATAAACATAAGACGACGAATAATATTCTCCGCTCCCAAAAAGCTCTACTCTAGAGTAGTAAGTACATGTAGTACGAAATAATTTTTATTCATCTATTTAACTCTTATATCTAGTTGATAAGTAGTAAGAGTAATGTTGATAAAGATTGTTACTTACAATGTGTAATCGAGACATGCCGTTTTGATTCAGTACGTACAAGTATCAACCAACCTGTATGCAAGCCAAATACGAAATTTACTTACAAGTCGTAATGTACCTACATAGTAGTAACCCTTGCTTCCTTCACGGACAATAATATTACAGCACAAAGCGGCGCCGCCATATGATATTGCCTAGGTCTGGTTGTTTAAGCGCCATGCAGTACAGATGTCTCTGTGAACAAAAGATAAACTTAACGCAAACAATCTACTTCGCCACTACCTACTGTTTTCTATTTGAGCCTTCTTTAAATGCGCGCAATGGGCAAGGTGTAACGAGTATGTTATCTGAAACCTTATGTCTGAGGTTTAGAATACCGCCAGCAAGTGCTCCGCACAGGAGAGCACACTCTAGGTGCATTCATGTATGGTCTCAGTAAACATTGAGCACCTATTGCCCCTGCGTTGCATTGGCAAAGGGAAAGGCTAGAAGGGTTCAGTACAAGAATAATTACCCCACGTCTTCTACCGGCGAAGAAAAGTTTCGGAACACATCCAATTGGATCAAAAGCTTTTACTGTAAATCAATGCGCGATTATCATATTTCTACGCTCTTTCTATCTAGGATTCACAACTTCGCCAGAACGGCTTCAGCGGCAGAGACCTGTTTTTTTTCCATGCAGGTGCACGTTAGTCAAAGGCGAGGGGTAAAAAAAAGAAAAAAGAAAAAAGCAGAAAACTTGATGACCCAGATGTTGAGGAAAGGTTCCATCGACCTTTTTCTTTCTTTTTCCTCTTGCATTCGGCGACTTGAAAAGAGCGGAAATAGAAGTGAAATGGGGGCTTACATCAACCTCCCCTTTGTTATCCTTCGCAGCATAGGTAACAATTCCCTTGTCAATAACGAGGGCATATCTGGCCAATCTAGGCCCATTTGTCCATCCGATACTCTCAGAGAACTTGTTTCCTGTATCGGAGAGGAATAGAATATCATCCCCCTTCACGTTATTGGCTTTTCCCCAAGCGGCCATCACATGGGCATCATTGTAGGCTATCACTGCAATGACATCTATGCCTTTGTTCTTCAATTCGTTATAATTCCTGATGTAGCTAGGGAGGTGCTTCTCGGAACATCCGGGAGTGAAGGCTCCTTTTAATGCGATTGTGAGTCAATCTATCTTTCCAGAAAACTATACGCATACAGTTCAAGCAAGCCTACCTGGGACAGCAAAGAGAATGACTTTCTTATCTGCCCATTCGTCAGAGGCGTTGAGCTCTACCTGACGTCCACAGGCGGTAACGTCGGACTTCTCTTCGGTATAAGGAACCCAACTATTATATTATCATATATTAGCACTAGGTTAATGTCCAAAGCGGGGAGAAAATTGGCGGTGTGAACGAACCTGAAAGTGACACCAGCGGGAAATTTATCACCAGGTTTTATAGAAGACATTTCGGTGTTTATCGAAGTATCTGTAACAAAAGATTGCCCTGGTACGTATATACGTTACGAGGAGAGGGGTTGAGGTTCAAGTGCATACCATAAAGAACCCTGTCTGTTTAATAACCCCGCTCCAGGTAAAGCCGTAATGCAACAAAGCCTCCCAGTTCGCGATCATACTCTACACCCTCCACTTATATTAATCAATTGATAGAATAAAAGTCCAGAAAATAATTAATTCTCAGCTCTCCCCAACGTCCTCCAAAGCCCAAGGAAATTTATAGTAGATGACTCGGGGAAATAAGTATTTAGCCATGGACGGTTTTAACATGATATTGTCTTCCAAATGAGAAGTGCTCTCGAGCAAAGAATCTACGATCAGTACACAAATAAAGTAGTTAAAAAAGATAATCCTCAGCTTGTGAACTTCCCATGTATTTAATCGTACCAAAACCTAGGGCTGATAGCTTGTATCAGTATTCAATATTTAAATTTTAGGGCCGGGGCCGAAATTTGAGGAATAATCAGTCAATATATATTATATTATATCGTGGAGTAATACATGTATACATGTATGTACTACATGGTTCGACTCCGACTTCAATTCTGACTCCGCTCCGGCTCCGGCTCTGGCTCTAGCTCTGGCTCCGACTCCGAGTGGTGTGATCTATGAGACGGGCCGACTCGAGCTTCAAGCATGATACTCGGCGCGGTTTAAGCTGGCTCGTCTTATGATTGAGAATAATTACGAGGAAAACGCTCAACCGCCCACTTTTCAAGGATAGAGATCACAAGCAGTATGCGTTGATGTTCTTTGCTTGTACTTTAATGTCCTCTGGGTAGGCTCGAGCCATACTCGAATTTCAGTCGTGGACCACAGTAGCACTGGTGATACATGCAAACGCCCCGCCTTCTTAACTGTCACGTCTGTGTACATTGATATCTTACCGTAGCACTTTAAGCCATAAAGATTGACCTCCTCGTGCGCTAAAAACCCAAAGAAAATCCCGATTCAGATCGTCAATATTGTCTCACAAAGGAGTCAGTATGTCACGACAGCTCAAAGACAGAATTAAGTCTGTTCCAATGCAAGTGAATAGAAGTTCATTGATCGTAACTAATTTGGTTATACAGCAATAAGCTGACTTATATACAAAAAAAATGCCCTTTCAGGGTGTAGGCTGGCAGGATAGGAACCCACGGTTACTCGATCACGGTACTTCATTCTTCTCTTTTTATCCTCGACGCCTCGTTTTCTATTCTGGGTCTTTTGATTGGCCTTTGGGGTGAAGAATAACTTGTGCTTCCGCCAAGAGAAGATTCGTTCCAGGCTTCGTTCGTAATTCTATTATGTGTCCTTGTGATAGCCATAAATCGATCGCCCGGGCACTCTGCTGCAGGCTGCCTAAGCGGCGCCGTGGGAGCTTGGGTTTGACTAGTTGATGGCCGAGGCGGTAGCGATGCTATAGAATATCGTTGTGATGCTAACGCTTCCCGGTGTTGTTCAAACTCACCCCCGGGCCCCATATGCGTATGCGGGCTCTGCAACGATGAAGGAGCTGGACTGTAAGAATCTGCCGAGGGGACCGCTCTTTTGGATAACCTTCGCGCTTGTGGCCCTGATTTTCCTGGCGCTACACTCTGCTGGACATTATTAGAACCCTCTGGGGTTCTTGTATTGAGATTCTGAACTTCCCGAACTCCATCTCGTGGTGTCATATTCTGCTGGACATTACGACTACCCCCGGTGTTCTTGTATTAAGATTTTGATCCCCTCGAGCTCCATCTCGTGATGTCACATTCATTCCTCCTCGGTGTATCTCGAGATCGGTTATATACTTCATAAGAGAACTCCAGGTCGAGCTATTACTGCGGAGATCTTGTCTTTCCTCTCTAACCACTTGACGCATCTTCAGGATATCCCCACTGAGAAGAGTAGGGTTGGTCCGATTAGGATGTTGGTGGATCAAAAGCGCAGAGGCAACAAATTCTATAGGTGAATATTTTGTTGCGTGGGTGTAATTATGATTCTGGAATGTTTCTGGATGCCTCTTCAGTATCTCATTGTACTTATAAAAGACGTTTTTTACGGTAGCCCTGAAAGGTTCGTCAAGAAGATTTGTACGTTCACAGAAGGCCTTAAGGGAAATAGCGCCAGCGCTGTATTTAGAGTTTTGATCCTCTGAATTGAGGATCTGCTTAAAGATTTGTAAAATAAGCTGAAAGCTCCGACCACGTCTATTATCCACGGCTAGTAGATTGAAAAAGTAAGTATGAATATCAATAAAAGAGAATTTGAAGGTAGATAATGCGCACTTTGCATGAGATTTGGATACTTCTGTTCTATTTCAAGAGCGAATGCCTGCCAAGCACCTGAGCTCGCTCGGAGTTTTTCGGCGGGTGTGAGTGGCACCCCTAATTGAACGCGCGAAAACAGATCTTCTTCCTGTTTTCTTTCCAAAGCCGCATATTCTGCACAAAGTAGTTCTTGGGACAAGAAATGTTGCTTGAATTTCTCATTGAGTAATCGTTTCTTTTTGCCGGACGGACTGCCATTATCTTTGAAAAACCTATATAAAATGTTTTTTATGATGAGACGCCAAGATTTTAGTTGTGTGGAGGAAATAGCTCACCATTTACGACCGTGCTTATCTGTACAAGGAATGTTTCCATTGACAAATTCTCGGATAGACGAAAGACGCTGCTTCCCGTCGATTGAGATCCGGAGAAATCTCTCCCCGCCTTCTTCTGTCTTTATCGTTTGAACATTAAATATAACAGGGGGGATATAGTAATTGCCTAAATCGAATTTAGCATTAGTATTTGTCACATCCACAGGCAGTGAGAGTACGAACATATCAAAGAGTTTATGAGTTTTGTCATTCTATCACTATTCCAAACAACATCTCTTTGGTAGTCTGGATTTAAGTCTAAAAAGGGACTCGACATCATATCTATGTTCACATAATCATTAGCGCGACAAATCACGTGAGGTGGAGTCATCTCGAAGAATACCATAAAGATCTGTTATTGAGCGCCGCTGCCAATGACATTCCTCGAGCTTTTCAGGAAGCTCAAAGACTCCGTCAGGATTTTCTTCCTCCACCTCTTCATCCTCCTCATCATCATCAATATCGTCATCGGATTCCTGCACGGCTATGGGCTTTTCTTTGGTGCGAAGTCTCGACATTTTGATAAGAGTTTTTTGCGATGAGAAGCACTCTTCAAGAGAGAGTCGCTTTTGGTTCTAAGGAGGGTCCGTTCAAAAAAAATATTGAGATATCACACAAGATGTCAAAGTGGGTGCTGTAATAGGGAGTAAAGAGTATTTTGGGAGGAGATGGGAAGGGGTCGACAGTCTGAGACAGGACAGGAAAGTTCTCAATTTGGCTGACTAACTAAGTGGACAGGGCCCTCAGCTCCCACAAAACAGCCAGGGACTACTAATAGGACACTCCTCCACCAGCAACAACTACATCCCCCCTCAGCCCTACAACTTAAAATGTCAACCCCACTTTTCGATCCTACCCTAATCTCCTCCGAGGTTGCTTCTTCACTACCAGATGGGTACTCTATCCGTCCAGCCTGTAAATCTGATTACAGCCAATTTCTAGATGTCCTTCGCGTTTTAACAACCGTGGGGGATATATCCGAAGCGGATTGGGCTGAAAGATATGACTGGATGGCAGCTAGAAAGGATGAATATTTCATCATTTGTATTACGGATGATAAGGAGAAAGTTGTTGGCGTAGGAAGCTTGATTATAGAAAAGAAATTGTAGTATCCCTTCTCGCTGCTTGGTATTAATATGTCAGATCAGAAAAAAATCCTAATAAAATTTACGAATAGCTTGAGAAATCTAGGAATAGTCGGTCACATCGAAGACATTGCCGTTTCAAAAGATCAACAGGGAAAGAAGTTGGGACTAAAAATAATCCACGCTCTTGACCATATCGCAGAGAAGGTTGGCTGCTACAAGGCCATCCTCGACTGTTCGGAGAAGAACCAGGGCTTCTATGAAAAGTGTGGATATAAGCATGCTGGCGTGCAAATGGTGAGTTGGTTTCTACATTGATAATGGCCAATGATCATGCCGGCTTACGTGTGAATAGGCACATTATTATGAGAAGAAATAGCCAGCTGTAGGCGCAGTGGGCTCGGAACTTCAGACGGCTATGCCATAGATTAACGGGGAAACGACTTATTTGATTGATATGGGTTACATTGCATTGTACTTGTCTTAGAAATACCCTGGTCTAGCTAAAAACTTACAATGACTGTGCTGAGATTTCGATTTAAGTCTTGAAGCATTGACAAACTAAAAGGCTAGAGTAAAGGGGGGAACTTTTATTTCCTTCCGATCCACCCGTAAGACAGCTTCAGTGGCCACATACCGGGTATTGAATTCACAAATTCTAAGCCAGCAAGACTTAGAATCTTCTAAAGCTTGCGAGCTCCAACCAAGATCACGGCGATTAGATACAAGGTCCTTGTCACATTTCCAGCAGCAATTTCGGACCTCTTTATTTTGACCGACCAAACCAGGCTGTAATTGGAAGTAAAAAAAAACCAGAACTATACACCAACACCGCTATCCCGCTCCCTTTTAACGGGATTTGGCCTGGACTTTGGGTGCAGCACCCTTCGCACCCTGCTTTGATACCTTTCCACCGCGAGCAGCAACACTAGCGCTCTTGGCCTTCTCAGCCTTCTTCTTGTTCTCGGCCTCAGCCTTCTTGGCCTTTCCATCCTTGATAGCCTGGGCGCGGGCGGCCTGACGGGCTTCTGGGCGGAGGGAACGCTTTTCCTTGAGAACGTCGAGGGAAAGACCGACAATAGCACGCTGGGACTTAACGGTACGGCGGGTACGCTTCTTGGCGACTTCCTGTATGGGTGTAAGCAGCTTGAATGTAGCGCAGTCGATGATGAACGATTGCGAAATACAAACCTCAGAGATACCCTTCTTGTGCATACGCCTGAACAAGATCGTCCAGGCAATTCTGCGAGGGTTCTTCCTCTGGAGGAAAAGTGACTCGGACTTGCCGTTCACGAATCTAAAAACCTTGGAGTCACCGCGGACATAGATCTTACCCTGTAATGGAGATATTGTGTTAGATTGTATTCATAAGCTATTTCTGAGAATAGCAAGAGTTCTCGGAGAGCATATTCGAACCTTTGAAGGGTAGATTTTGGCACCGCTGAAAGCATCAAGTTCGACCTATCGTTAAATTCTCTATTAGTACATGACCCAAGCAGTAATTCTAATAATCCTTATCCCAGAAGCGGTATCTGGACAGCTCCCACCCCACATAATTTCCCTTTATCTTTGCCACTGCGCACTCCCTGTCCGGCTACTATCCCATCTATTTCCACCCCATCCCTTAACCAGTCCTCCCTGCTGTCCAGACACCGCTGCCGTCGCTCTCATCTTTTTCATTGGGACCGGGAACCGTAACACACCTTCATTTTTGCTGTGGTTGATCTTTAATATGTCGTCGTTTTGGGTGGGTTCGGGTGTCGTCGTTGTCGTTTGTGGTTGGCGTTGGCGTGATGAATTCGTTGGTGTTTGGCGGAAATTGTGGGGGATTTGTGTGGGCGGCAGAAAAGGAAGTCACAAAATCTGATAGCCCTTGCACGTGATAAGACCCACTTAGTCATTAGATCCCAGCCACGCCGGGGGTTCCTGCCCTTTGGGGGCGAACGCAGACAGACCCAATAAATCTAGAGTCTTATATGCATCATAAATGATATTATAATTTCACTATAAGATATAAAAAAGCGAAAATTTCAGAACTATAAATACATATATGAGATTGTACGGCATGCGCGAATCACAATATCTCACTCGTCGCAGCTTGACGAAGATCAATTATCACTCACCCGAACAGTTGATGGTGATTGGTGTAAAGGAGATATTAAAGCTACATGTAGTTATAAGGTAGATCATCTTGCTGTTATGGCAATTTTCCGTCCAGGTGAGTGGTGGAAGCGTCTATGTACAGCCACTCAGCAAAAATGTTCGTGTTTTAGGGTCTGTTCGGTTGACACAAAAATCCATGGATTGAATAAAAAAAACACCTCTGGAGGTGATTATTTTATCGAGCCCAATCCATAGATTGCAACCAATTCAACGTCAACCGAACGGAGCCTTAATGTCAGTGCGCAGTGTGGCGCACCAGTAATACTGATGATATTAAAGTTAAGATCCAAAACAACGAAAAATATATAATATAGTTCGTGACTATATATAAAAAGAAGATAGGTCATTGATCTTATTCTTCATTAACTTGGGCGCCATTAGTCACTGGGAAAGTCTTCTGTTGGGGGGTTCTTGATAGTCCGCCACGGTTACATATGGAGAAACCCCCCACTCCGAAATCGGAATCACGAACACTTTTGCGGAGTGGCTGTACATGTAGTTGGTGTATCTTGGGCAAAGTCAACATTATTGGTAAACTACATGTATGTTTTGTGCTAGTTTAAGGATTTAAAAATGTGGCCTAGTACGGTTTAGATAATTTCTTTACTAATAGTAATTGACAACGATTGCAAAGAAACTATGCGTTATGTCATTCTGTTACCATGTCTTCTGAGAACCTCGAATCAGCAAGTTGTTTTTAAGGTTCCAGAAAATTCCTGTTCCTGCCTTCCATGTTTACCCATGCTTTGAACCTGTTTCTCGATTCTAGCAGATCTAGGTGCAGCTAGACTCTCTAAATCCACAGCATCGCAACTCATTAAGGTTTCAGTTGTTTCCAAAATGTCGGCAATTAACCTGCATATTGACTATATTAGAATGGAAGGGTAGTTATTAGTGGAAATGGATGACCGACCGGTCCAGTAGATCAGCAGACATGCTTTCTCGCACTACGACCCTCAGAATTTCGATTTCTTCCACACTTGGGGGCAAGTTGTAGTCTATCTCGCAAAATGTTGTTAGCATTTCGATATTAATGGTTTGATTATGGGATGTTGTAGAGGCGTACTTGGAATGATATATCCTTTCGTTCTCAGGAGTGTTGAAACACTCTGCTGCTTGATGTGGGGGAATGTTTTACGGAACTCATCATTAAACCTGAATGCAACAACTGGTAAACCCGAATTATAAAGACTTGGGTCAGACTCTTGTAATACAAGATCCTTCACACCATCAATAATCTTCGTTCCAGTACCTCCATCTCCCCATGAACCTCTCTTTCGATGAATGTCGCTCAAGCAGACATACCAACCACTAGCTTCAAGTGCCTTTGAGAGAACTCGTGCGTTTTGTAGTGCGTTCCGCATAACTGATGTAAATCCCTCGCGACCAAGGTGGATAAAGTTGAAATATTGTGCAATAACCTGGTTACCGGGTCTCGAAAAATTAAGTGTGTATGATTGTTCAGTTCCACCTAAATAGTGAAGTTCAAAGATGAGATCTTTCGGGAGATATTCTTCATTCCTCCATACAATCCAGCCAAGTCCAGCATATACCAGTCCGAACTTATGACCAGACGTGTTAATGGAGTGCACTCTAGGGAGTTCAAACCCCCACTTCCCTTGGGCGCCTGTAAATGGGGCAACCATGGCTCCGGAAGCACCATCGACATGGATGGGAATAGCGATGCCTGTATCCTTTTCATACTCGTCGAGAACTTTAGAAACCTCCTCGACGGGCTCGAAATGGCCAGTGTATGTTGACCCAAGGATCACGAAGACACCAATGGTATTCTCGTCGACGTTTTGACGAACCAATTTAGGATCAAGACACCAGTGTGACTCTTTGCTGACTGGAAGGATTCGGGCTTCAACCTCGAAATAGCGAGCAAACCTATTTTGGAGACATTTGGTTAACCTTCTGATGAGGGATATACATGTATGGCATGGGTACTAACTTCTCAAGAGCAACTTGTGCATTAGCACCCATCAAAATATTAGGCTTTTCCGTTGATTTCCCTTCTTTCCTACGTCTATCCTGCCACCTCCTCTTCATGGCCAATCCGCCAAGGTGAATGGCCTCGCTACTTCCAGTCGTTGCAGTTCCAATTGCAGTCTCTCCCTTAGGAATACCCCACAGGTGCGAAATCATAGAAATGCACCTTGCGTGGATAGCCATAAGAGCAGGATATTCATCCGCATCTGCCAAATTCTTTGCGATATTTTCTAGGATCAACTTATCGCATTCCGGCTCCATATATGTGTTCACGAAAGAAGCCAGATTGAGGTTGGGACGTCCATCAAGGTCTAATTCATCTTTGATGATTTGGTGAACCACACTGGCATCGGCGCCTGTCTTGGGGATCCGAAATTTCGGGATTTCTTGGCTTGCAGCGTACCGAGAGCCATATACATAGTGATGAGTAGCTGTCTTGTGTTGGTGTTGATTTGGACGGTGTTTTGGCGAATGCTCGCGGAGAGACGCGATGAGTTCATCTGGGTCAACCTAAGCCGGCTCGTGGTGATTAGCATTAGAAATATGAATGCTAATAGGCAGTGTCACATACGTGCTTTGAGAGCGACATTTTGGTGCGTTATTACTCGAATTTGGAGTATTAGAAAAACTGGAGATGTGATATATATTATAGGGACTCAACGCGAAAGCACGGCAGGATAAACAATCTCTGGGGAATAATTGCTGGTGCTAATATGTGAGGCAATCATGTCTGTCTTGGACAGTATTTGTACTCTCCTAGAGGTATTTCGTCACCTCGAAAACCGAATACTCATGACGCGCGTAGTACCTGTATGATGTAGCCATCTTTCTCTCGCAGACAAATGAAAGTGAATTGTGAGATAAATGACGTGATGTTTACACGTTTCCGTTAAACAGATGCGGAAATGGTCTGATCTACGTTTCTTGCTTGGCCTAGCCAGGGGTCTGAATGCTTGTTTTATGTGTAGGACCTTGGCAACACCACTGCATGGAACTCGACCCCGGGAAAAGCATGACGATTGGACTGACGCTTTACTCTAGTCTCACGCATGTGGGGTACCACATGTACCGGGTGTTCACCATTAATCTGAAGAACTCTGCTTCATTGGTTGAAAATGCAGGGATTTTATAGAGAGCAACCAATTACCATCAATCACACCGGCCTTAGTGCACCAAATTTGTATGGGGGAAAAAAGTCTGAAGAACTTTCATATATCTCTACTCAAAAATCTAAATATTTTGCTAAAAATACAAAAAAATAACTGCAGAATAGCGCTGGCTCCCAGCTTCCCCTAGATAATATTTTGAGCTCATAAACCCTTGTGGGGAGTGTTTTCTGATGAAGTTGGGTGCAAATGACAGTCAAATTGCGGTCTTGGAGGTTGCATTGCAAAATATGGGGGCAGCCTATTCAAGTACTTTTTCTGGCGCCAAGTATCATTTTCTGCAGCTTCAACCAATCATACGCCAAAAAAAAGGTTCTTCAGACAAACCCATAACCCCCGGTACATAGACTCTTCATCACTCACTCAGACAACCCTCACCCGGACACTACATGTAGTTTTATATCCATCGCAACCGGCTTCTGTACGTATACCCCTTCCCAACCAATTACCATCAACTGACCGATTGAGGGGGATGACTGAGTGAGGGGCTAGGGCATCTATATCACTGTTCTACATATTGACATAAGGTTTGCGGATTTCAAGTTAATTTATACTTGGATACCAAAGCCATCGGAGCACGACTGGCTTGAAAAATTCTCATGTCATGGAATTGATGGTTCGTATGGTTAATAAGTATACGTATTAAGGCTTTGAAAATGAGGCATTTCATTAGGTATGGAACAAACTAATTCTACGTGCTTTGGCTTCCGTATAAGACGTTGGATATGCGGTCACCCTAATATTATGCGCCCTCACTTGGTCAATAGATACATGTGGCCAGGTATGATACTCTGCCAACTTACACGAGGTACTTTCGCACTGTTAATTCAGATTTCTTGAATGTACAGTCGCATGCATCAAGTTCTCGCCGTCCACGATGCAACACTCAACCTCAATACTCGTTACTCAACCACAAGTGAAGATATTTAATAGAGAATACATAGTAGAGTTAAATAGAATATAAAGAAATTATTTTGAGACTACCATCCCATGTGCCCTCCATTGGCTTTGAGACATGCCTCAACCCTTAATGGCAATTTATCTAGCTTTGATTGAGACAATGCCTCCCACTCCTCTTGTGCAGCGATAAAAGGTTCATCATCATGATGAGGTCTTCTCTATCTATAGCTTCATCGCCTTTTTAGTTCACTCTTGAGTATTTTCCATGAATTTTCTATGGTGTTGAAATCTGGTGATCCAGTAGGCCAATCCTCCTCCTAACTGGACAGTTTGTATCTTTATTTATCTGTACAGTATTTCGGCCTATTTTATGGAGAATAACAACAGCTTGCCACTTGTCATATCCTGAAGCTTTTGCAGAGTTCGTGGTGGAGTTGTTATGGTTTGACTCACCATCAAAAAACGGCGGGAACTTGTTGCATGCGACTGTACAGCGAGAGATAAAATTATTGTAGAAACAGGGGTCTAAAAACAGGATTTTATGGTTGGGCAAGCCAATAGGACTCCTCCCATATTTCTATAATAATCTTACCGCAAGTTGTATCATGATCAAGCAAGCGGCCATATAACCTAGAACAGGGTGCTCTACATGTACTTGCCCGATTATAAAGAGTAGGACGGAAATACAACGAGCTCAGCGCAACGCAACGCAACGAAGCCCAACTCGACGAAGCCCAATGCAATGAATTCAATTTGTTATGCTTGATAATTATTGTTACCAATATACTAGTATTTTCCTCCAGAAAAACGTATGGTTATGATACTTGCTCGGTGTTGAGGCGTTATATCAGGTGCGAGCACGTACAGTTGCGACTCACCCTTCCTTGTACTTCCGTCCTACTCTTTATAATCGGGCAAGTAAGTACATGTAGTTACATTCATCTACTATTATTTACAAAAAGAGACTAGTCAAACACTACTACATGGTTAGCTTAGCAGCTAAACCTGGCGTTCACAGTCATTGATTTTTATTTTTAATTATTATTGCCGTGACGATGGGGTATATTTATATTTCCTATATATATGGTGCATGTTCCAAAAGGTAGAACACCAAAACGACGTAGGGGAAAAGTATTTGGAGACTTTGCGCTCTGCTCTAGGCGGGTCGCTAGCTAGTAATCGCCGGGCGGGCGAGGATAATAAAATTCTTATAGCTATATAGTCGAATAAAGTTGACCATATAGCATAACAGGACAATTATATGGTATACCATTAAGGCAGAAGCACCCCAAGTCAAATAAATAACAGGAGAAAGTGGCAGAATAATAAGATATAGCTATAAGATTAGCTCTAAAGCTTCCATATCTCCATCATATTAATAATAATCGCTCCGCACCCACCAGCTACCATCCATAGATTCATGATCTACGTATACTTTATATCAGGAGAGAGGCCATTTATCGAAATTTAGATATTCAAAATTCCTAAGTCCCCAGATCTAGATCTAGTAAGCCCAGTAATATTAAAGACACTTATAGGTACTGCTGGTGCACGTGGTGATGGGAATTAACTAATAAAGTGAATAGAAAATCAACACGTGCATGGCGATAAACAAATTATCATGAGATACTTCATTACCCCTAACCATTCAGTTAATGGATTTTGCACCACAATTAGCTTACTTTATGGTTAAAAATCCTACTTATGTAAGTCTTTTTAAGGCCTATCTGGGACATAGGTATATGAATGGTCTCGACCAACTCAGAGCCCCAGTGTGGTTCACGAGGGCGCTCAAGGCGATCGAGGTTTAGGAATATCCTTGAGGCGCCTCGTCCTCGTTGACCTTTGCCCCCCCCCCCCCCTATCCCCGAAGTCGGACACTCCTATCCTCGAGGACAATAAAATGTTATTCCGAGATCTGGGAGAACAAAAATCTACATTTCTTTAATATAAAATGCATTACACTGTCCACGACCTCATCTCAGTAAGTATACATGATGTTATAGCCAAGAGTTTCCCCTAGACTAGGTCCTTGAGGCAAGGATACATAGCTAGAGCCCTCGAGGCTCCTTATTCTTTTGGAACACTGTCTTTGTATGTTATTGATGACATGCCCTCGAAACAAGGGCACCAGGGCTCTCGTCCTAGATCCTCGTGGACCACACTATCCCAGACGTTGAGCGGATTCCCCACTAATTAATCAATTGTCGATTAATCTTGTTCAATGGCCTTTAACTCAGTACTAATAGTACATGTATATATTGCGTCTAGGTACATACATGTAGTTGTATAAGTCTTAGCTTATGCATATACAAACCAAACCAGCTCAAGCTTATATATCAGCTCAACGTACTCAAGTAAGCTCATGAACCACACTAAAACTGGGTAGTGGCCGACTTGGACCATCTGCACGGGATGGGATTGCGCATTTTATAGCAATAGAGCAAATTGCGCAATATGATCGATGGTAAGAGCATGATCGCTAATTCTCCTCAACCCAATTTACAGCTGTTGATTCGGATATCTCTAAGGGTGGCCCATCGCGACCTGCCCATCACTGGGTGTTGTGGGTCATGTTTGTGGAACACCAAATAGTTACACAGTTCGATGCGCAATTGAGTTTTGCAGGGTGCAGGGGGTGAGGATGCGCAACCGAGCTGATCGGGACCATTTCAGAGCCTAACAACTCGTGGAGTTTTTATTCCAGACGTTACAGAGGGGAAATTTGTTAAATGCCCAAGTAGGGTACTACAGCCCCTATATATAGCCCTACCCGTCCCACATCACTCTATATACTAGACTAAGGCATATGCTAGTAATTATAAGCAACCTTTTGAGAACGTAAAGGGTTATTACAGCCTTATTTGTGACTTACAAAATGCCTACATATACCTGGTTTATCGGAGGCTTGTATGGGACACAACTACATGTAATACATCTGATATCATTCGACTAAACCACTTATAGATTCCTCTACTAACTATTGAAGTGAATCAAAAAATGAATCTTAGACTCACATAAAACTTTGGTGTGAAATGAATCATCGGAAATGTGTTTCAAGTTATTAAGTGAACTATCTTTACCAAGGAAATGAATCTTTTTACTATGGGGAAATGAATCCCGAAATGAATCTTAAGTCTCATATGTTACTTTAATAAACACATTACCAATAACCGAAAATTATATATAGGTTTATATTCTCAAGAAATAAAAATAAAAAAATGGTTTAGGCTGGGGTTGTACCTGGGGGACTGCGATTGCACAATCCAGATCCTATCACCTACACTATTGATTAATATACTAAGCTCTGTACTCCCGGATTATCAAAGGGAGCTAAGGCTTGAAAAGGCATTGAAAAGGCATTGAAAAGGCATTGAAAAGGCAGTAATCAAAAACGCTGCGAGCAGCAGGATACCCGCCATTACAGGTACGAGGCCTCTATATGAGACAATGAAATAAGAAAAGGCATTATAAAAGGCATTTTAGGATGACGACGCACCCTTATCCTAAATAGGTAGTACAT